GTGGTGGTGGTCATTGTTCTCTTTCAGGAAGCTGTCCATAGAAATAACACCTAAAGCATGAGAATCAAACAGAAGCAAACACCAGAAATTCATTTTAACTGTAAAGTCGAGTAAAATAAAGTGAAGTAAAGGATCCTTTTTCATGCCTTCAGGCGTATTGGGCATATATGGTTAAGCCTACATTTTATAGACCAATCAGCATTGGTGGGTGATGTAGTCCGCATCACGCCAGACGCCTTTACTTCCCAAGACTTTTAGCTAGTACCTATTTAAGGCTGCTCTTTCAACAATTTAAAAGTTATATAATGGCACCGTTACAGTTGCAATGAAAGACAACCTGGGGTGAGGGGGGAGGAAGAGAATGAGTAAGAAAGATGCTACCCACTTGTGCGCCATGTGTATAGTAACTAAGCAGCCCCAAGCCTTTCACATTAGCAAAGTAGCCTGATGGCGTTCCTCGCCACCATCCCTTAACACCCCTCTACACATACACACACACACAATCACCTACACTCACACACGTGAGCGCACACACACGCACTATCTTCACATCATCTTCTCTTTGCCTTCTGCTTCCCAAGCCACTTTTGCACAAAGAGATTGTTTAATAAGATAACCATGTGCCGGGAGATCGCCCGGTGACTAACTCAACGGCTGGCCTCTAGGTGAACCAGGTTTTTCCTTCGCCAACGAATTTGTGTGTGTGTGTGTGTATGTGTTTGTGTGTCTGTGAGTCAGATTAAAAATGTAAAAAAAAATTTTTATTGACCTGGACTTCTTGTGATGTGTAAGTAAAGGTCTCTTTTCTACGCCTTTAGGCATATAGGTTAGACCAATATTTTTATAGATCAATTAGAACAAGATGGGTGATATGGTCAGCATCACGCCGGCCGCCTTTACTTTCTGAGACTGCACCCGATACCCACTTAAGTCTGATGGACTTCTGATGTTAACCTGAAGGATTCTGTTTCCATGGACCTATTTTCACTTTGCATTGGTATCATTTCTAGAGTCATTTAAATATGTTAATAACTGTATCTGGTAACCCATACTCAGCAAGGGTCCTCCTCATTGTTGTTCCATCTGGACTGTCAAATGCCTTTTCAAAGTCTTTGAAGTTTTTATTGTAATGTGGCATTCCATTCTAAAGCTTGTTCCACAATATTTCTGAAAGTGAAAAAAAGATCACAGCAGTTTCTTTCTTTTTTGCGAATCCTGCCTGATCTTTCGACAAAACTCTTTTGTCTCTTGACGTCTTTATTCTGTTGTTTATCACCCTTCATAGTGCTTTTCCTAGTACAGACAATGTTATGCCTCTCCACTTGTTGCAGTGTGAGAGATCACATTTTTCGGTAGTTGGATGATTACAACATTTTTCCACTCTGTTGGGACAACTTTGTTTATCCATATTTTGTTAAATATTCCTTGTAATGCTTTTGCTGTAAATTGTGGGTCTGCCTTTAATATTTCAGCACTAATTCGGTCTTCATCTGGTGCCTTCCCATTTTTCATATTGCTTACTGCCTGCCGTTTCTATTTCTTTAACGCTGAGTGGCCTGATGATTATTTCCAAGAGTTGGCCTCAGGTTTTTTCCTTTAGGAGCTTTGAATTCCAAGTATTCCTTTTTGTCTTTCTTCAGCTTTTCTTTACTTTATATTTGGTGTTATATGCTTTTTCTGTGGCCATATTTTCCAGTGTGCTCTTTGCAAAGTTTGCACTTTTTTGCATTTTTATTTCTTTTATCTTTGACCAAGATGCGTCAGGTTTCGTTCTAGCAAAAACAGCTTGTATCAAGGTCCTCCACTTCTTATTGCACAGTTTGTGATCAATTTGGTTCCTCGTGTTTCCTTTAGGTGACGCCCATATTTTTGTGTGTGGATATCTTTATACCTAAAGACTGTTCCAACAATGATAGACTGGTGGAGACAGAAGTCGGTCAGCCTTTCTCCATGATTGTTCCTTTATCCTAGCCCATGTTTTCCTATGATGGGTTTAAGCCCTATGTCTTCCCTTCCTACTTTTGTGTTCAAGTTCCCCATAACTATAAGTAGGCCATGTTTGGGGATTTCCTTTATCAGTTCATGTAACTGGGTATAAAACTCATCTTTCTTCTCATCACTTCCTTCATTTGTTGGTGCATAGCATTGTATGACTAAGATCATGAATCTGGACTCAAAGTGTCTTTCATTTATCGTCCTCCATCGTTATCCAGTTTCGTCCTTTTTAGGAGGAAATTTTTTGTTATTTGAAGCCCCACCCTGGCTTTTGCCAGGGGCCGCAATATAGGCAGGCCATAAATATGGCCAATTGTCTGAACGCGGTTTCTGGGACCTCTCCACGGCGATCCTCATCCACATGGTGGCACTTTGTGTCATCGGGTGTTTATCGCTTGTGTGATGTCCTAGTGGGGTAGAAAGTCAGTCAGTCAGCCCTCCATCGAATCAGAGATTGTATTACTTCTTTAGTTAGCATTAGTGCTACTCTATGTGTATGTTCACCATTATTTTTTCCCTAGTAGAGTATGATCTTCCCACTATTATGTGTCAATCTTCCTTGACCCTACCATCTGCTTTCACTTATTCCCAAAATACTATCTTATTATTTGCTATTTCCTTGGCAATTTCTGTGGATCTGCCTGCTTCATACATCATTCTGACATTTTAGCAGGCAAGCTGAATAATGTTCCTGGGTGCCAAGATGCAGGTCATCAGGGCTGGGTTTTCCTGCAGGCTTTCCTTCCCCCAGTCCTCCATTGACAGTTATCCTGTCACCTATATCTGTGACATCCGGATCTCCATGAGTATTATTTACATTTATGTTTGTCTCTGTTTCTTAGCGGTTTTCTTTTTTACAGTGAAGGGTTACTGGTCCTTACTTAGTCCAATCCCTCTTGGTCGCCTCTCAAATCAGTTAGTGAAATATATGTCTAACAATCTTATCACCTGGTTAATTTTGTTCCATTAATGCTATTAGTTGCTTAAAAAAATATGTCAGTTTACAGCTTCAGGATATGGCCAATACGTTAATTCTGATGTTTGTGATAAGTTTTCTTTGTTTATGTTTGTGAAAAGTTTTCTTTGTTTCTGACTTACTTTGTATCGTTTGAAACAAATTTTATTATCATGTATATCAAACATACAGACAATTTTGAAAAAATAAAAGCCTGTAAAAGAAAAGTACTTCTTTATTTCAAGAAAATATCTGGTTACAGCTGTATCCACAAGCTGAGCTTAAGAAAAAACAAATGTATTTAACATGTAAAATTGTATTAATACTCAAAACTGTTTAAACCGTTTATAAATTAGGTAAGTAAAAACCATCCTACGGCTAATAATTGATGGAAAAGATAACAGACAAATCATATTTTTTTCTCATGAAAGCTAGTGGAAATGCAAATAATCTATTCAACTTATATTGATATGATAAGTAAAAACAAAAATCTTTGCAAAAAATGGGAATGTGGTGTGAAGAGTCTACCTTTAAATACATATTAGGCATCAAAATAATGTGTAATGCAAACTGTTAATATTTTTTCTATCTCAAAAAATTAGTAGGTACATTTTAAAATCCTTTGGAATCGGATACACTGCAAACATGGCATTTTTGTCTGTGGCTAATCAGAAACTGGTTTATCAACTGGATTATCACACTTTAATCACAGAATAAACGTTAACATACATCAATTAAATTTACACAATTTAAGAAAGAAAATAACAGTATTCCAAAAGAAGAATGAATAGCAATATCACATATCTTAATCACCAGGCTGTTTTTTTAGCAGTTTACGTAATAAATCTTAACACCGCTACTCTAATAAATCTTAACACCGCTTCTCTAATAAATCTCAACACCACTTCTCTAAAAAATCTTAACACCATTCTCTCTATAAATCTTAACACCGTTTCTCTAATAAATCTTAACACTGCTTCTCTAATAAATCTTAACACTGCTTCTTGGCTAAAGTGGCCTGAAATATTTTTGAATTTTTTTTACATTTACTGAGTAATCACTGAGTCATCATGATAACTTTTCGGTTTTTGTGCAGGAAGGTAGAATCAACGCTCCTCAAATTGTCAGCAGAAATAAACATTTGCTTATTTCTGTGTATTATATACAAAACAATGGAACTGACAAATCAAATCTCTCCCTTGAATATTCACTGTTTAGTGAAAACCATGTTTAGTGTGTCCTTCTATCTTTCTACTTATTTCTATAAGTGCCAATCAGTACATTATCTGTTTATTTATTATATATATATATATATATATATATATATATATATATATATATATATATATATATATATATATATATATATATATATATATATATATATATATATATATATATACATAAAACATTCCTTATTGGTTATGTGCCGACTCTCCTCCTGACATCATTCCTGTGTTGAATTTTTTACTCATTCATCTAGCATAGTACATAAAAATTTCATTTCTGTCATGACTATTTTTCTTCTGTCTTCTGAAGACAGTGTTTGTCAGTCACAGAACACTGCCGAAGGTGAGAGAACAGGCTACATATAAGCAAGTGCAAATTTAAATAAAAGTTGTTCCACGGTAACTGGGTTGTGAAGTGTTAGGCCTCCACCTATTCTAGGCATTGATAAAAAGGTTGTGGTGGCTAGTTCTTTTCTTTGTTGCTTTTCTTTCCCAAACAATTCCTTGAATGTTCTGCTGAAAAGTGTCTTCAAATAGAAAAAATAAAAAGGGAAAATCATCAAATTATTTTTGAATGATTTAGCTTGTAAGCATAAAACACATGGCATGTACAGAGGCTATTCAAGTTCTGAACTGACTAGCCTAGCATGACAGAGAAAAGCATAAACATGTACAAAATTAGGTACACAGATACAAAAAATCAAAAGAATAGGCACAACTTGAAAAATTCCTTAAAATAATCTGCCAGATGTCCAGTATGTCAAGTCAGCTGCTAGGTGTGACACTGTGCAGCTGGCAGCACATACACGTATCAGAAATCTTCAAACAGTCAGACTGTTGATGGTGAGGCCAACACTTTGCTGAGCTTTCTCCACTGTGAACGGGGCAACTGTAAAATTCAGTATAGAAAAGTTCAGTTTTATAGAAACTATCAGTGCTGTTTAAAAAATAATCGTATATGTAAACTCTGGGCCTGTTCTGCTTCCTCTTCTTCTACTGCAATTACCCTTTTTAAAAAAACCATGAAAGCTCTGGTTTGGCAGCAGTATTTATCATTTTCTCTCAAGAGACAAAAGCCGCAAATAGCAGAGCAATAAATGAATGGAGCACCTCTCTTTTGTGCCCCCACACCTCCATTTTCTTAATCTTTCTCAACTCTCCTCCCTATTTTTTTATGTTTTTTTTTTTTTTTTTTTTTTGCTTAACACCTCGGCTAGCTAGCAGCAGTCAGAACGTGGTCGAGCTTTTTATTTTTTTCTCAAAAGGACTTGGACTTTTTGTTAAACTTGTTGAATGTACTCACCCACAACTACAATTAACAAAGGTAAACAATGAACCACAGACTTACAAAAATACGAGCAACTCTTACACTTATTTAAAGGTTTAAAAAAATTATTTTTAATGCTAGCCATGGGGCAACTACTGTCCAAACTTCTACTGAAGCGTCTTTTGAACATAAATTTGCGACTTTCCTTAGAGTTATGAACACAAATCTTTTTTCACTAGTTTTGCGTGGCGCGGTGATTTATGTCACAGGCGTGAGGGGAAGTTAAGTCTAACATTATGTGTATAAGGAGATACTCCGTACGTCACTCGGGCGCCAGTCCTTAACTATCCTGGTTGTACGGAACCTCACGCAAGACCCCTACAGCACGTCCTCGTCGTGCGCCACGGATAATGTCTCAAATGAGCATTAACAGAGCTGTCAGGGGATCTCGGAGTTCGGCGGCCCCCAGAGGTGATGTGTCCTTGTGGCTCTCATCAGCCCGCCCCCAAACGCTTGGGTGAAAAATGTTATCAAAACTCATTAGGAACATGAGTAGGTTTGCCAAACGTACAGCCAAAATTACAACCCTTGGTTAAAAGACTGCGGAGTAAAGAGAACATTGTTCACTGCACATCCTCTGTTAACCCTCAGTGTCGTCGTCACCGCGCTGAGGTACACCACAACAGCAACCATCCATAGGCTGGCCATCCTTGTACATCCTTGGTTAACCCCCAGTGTCGTCGTCACCGCGCTGAGGTACACCACAACAGCAACCATCCATAGGCTGGCCATTCATGTACATCCTCGGTTAACCCTCAGTGTCGTCGACACCGCGCTGAGGTACACCACAACAGCAACCATCCTAATTGTCCGACAAAACTAGATCATATGGATCAAAATCTGACCATCAAAATTTGTATTGAACTGAAAAAGACAGAATGTCCACACCCAAAGACCCCACTCGCCCGAGTGTTGGGACAAAACTGATAACGATATGCCTGATGCAGGATGTAAAATTCTGTCGGGCTAACGGCTCGTCAAAGAAATCTAACGTGCGAAGAAAAAAGAATGTATCTATCTGTGTGGTCACAAAAGTTCAAAACCCACGGGCTGCTCCCCGCTGACTTCCAGAGGGCGCAGCCCCTGTCGAGCGGGAGGCCTGATACGGTTGTGAGGTTAAGCAGGCATGTGCAGGACGTGACGATTCCTTGGATGAGCCCAGAACCAGAGCGCCATGTGCCGGCTCTGCATGCATGGAAGCCTCCTTGGATGGCGGGGAATGCCCATGATCTGCCCCTGCCTTCCCTTGAGGGCTAACTGATCCACAGGGGGCTGCCCCAAAGGGGTACTCCGAGGGCAATACCTGCGGAGGAGACAAAGTGGACACCACACAAATCAGGCAACGTCTCGACCCACACAAAACAATGGCCACAGTCAACCTAGAAATAGGCCTGACGTCTTCCTTCGAAGTCGGAGTACAGCTGCCCATGAGGCAGGGAAATGAAAAACGGTTGTACACGTAAAAATCAGGTCCAGGTGAAAGCCAAAAGTCCAAGCGGACGATTAACCGGGACCTTCCACTGGAATTCACAGCCGGTGATGGAACTAGTTTTGCGTCACTGTGTGGGTTCCGGGACCACATTGTGGGGAGAAAAAGAATAGACCTACTGCCTTCTAGCTAGTATGAAATTAAAGATTACTACTTAAGGTTGCTCCCTTCGAATTTAATATGTCTTTGCCAGAGAGGTGAGGAACCAACAGTCTGCATACAAATACACTAGATCAGTAATACAGATAAGCATGCAAAACTTAAATTTAAATTGAATGTCTCCTTTATATGAAATCTAAATTTATCAATTGCCTGATTACTTCATCTTAAAAGAAACTGTTGTAAACTCAGACTGTCTTCCTAATTTTAAACACTCATATCATACAGAAAACACTTATTTCTAACATGCTATATCAAGAATACACACCTGTTGGCAGGAAGTCATCAGCTCCAAACAGATCTTTGCGTGCAGACTGGATTGCCAGTTTGTTAGCTAACAGGACTCCAACTGAGAGAGAAATAGGTGGCTCCCCCACAGCTGAGAAACAAATTACAATATAAACCCATGAGTATTTAGGAAACTGTAAGTGAAATTAATTAATTGTATCATGAAATGACAAAATGAAATATAACTGCTAGTGGGTGTGAAATGTTGAGTTCCAAACAACACAGTGTGAGATTGATGCTTCTTCCCTGTGAAACCAAATTATATAAAATAACTATATTTTTTTTGAGTCAAGACAAACTAAAGAAACATGGCTTTGTCTTTTTCTTCTTCTTTCGTTCGCGTGAAATAAATTATCTATATCTGCAATGCTGTCTCCAGTATGAGTTTCACTGTCTTTACATGGCTTCTGATTTTGGCCACATCCATGTGTTTTATACAATATGTATACTTTTAACATTTCTCCAGTTACAAGCAGTCTTCTTCTTAAGGTCCTTGCCATATGGTGTTGGTAGTCATGTCTATCCACCATCTTCTGTCTCGTGCACTTTCAGTCACCTCTGATAAAGAATATCCTCCATGCCATGATGTCACTGTCCAGCATCAGTTCTCTCAGTCTCCGTCTGCCTTTCCTCCCCTTCAACTTTCCTACTGTCATGATGTTCTCCAGTTCTCTTCTTCTCATCACATGACCAAATAATGTAGATTGTCTATTTTCTGTGTAGGCAATCAGTTCTTTACCTGAGCAATTTTCTTTCAAGACATTTTCATTCCTCTCTTTATCTGTCCCGGGTATTCTTATCATTTGTCTATAAAACCACATCTACATAGCATCCAAATAATTGTTCACTAGTCTACCACTTTTACATGATTCACTTCCGAATATCAGGATAGCTTTTAAAAACTCTCCTTCTTGTCTCAGTTGGCAAAGAAATTAAAAGCAGCATTGAATTTTAATAGGGGACACATGCTGCTTTAAACATTTGCAGTGACAATTACAGCAATTCAGAAGGTTAACAAAAAACCAAAAGAGAAAATATTATTGAGAAAGTTCTTGATATTCCTGCATCTTGTCAAAATTGTATTATATTACTAGGACCTGGATATAATTTACATGCTACATGAACCGAGTAAATGTACTATAATAATGCATCTTGAGTTGGAATCTTACCTTTCGAACTACGGAGGCCTGAAGGATTTGGTGTATCCGGCAGGAAATAAATTCTCCAGTCTATTGGGATATCTTTGGTTGTTGGAGGTTTGTATTCCTAGACAGAGAAACAATTGCATTTGAATTTGTTATTGTTAACAAAAGCATTAGGGGAGCACATGAGCTGATGAATACTATTGGAGTAATATGTTGTGAAGAGGCATGATCGCCTGTACCAATGGATCAGGCACTTGATGATAATGAAGATAATTTACAAATAGACCTCATGCTTTTTTGTAGCTGACTGTTTCTGCTGATGGCTGTAGCACTAGTACTAAGTAAAGTAAAAGACTGTGCTGCTGATGGCTGTAGCACTAGTACTAAGTAAAGTAAAAGACTGTGCTGCTGATGGCTGTAGCACTAGTAATAAGTAAAGTAAAAGACTGTGCTGCTGATGGCTGTAGCACTAGTACTAAGTAAAGTAAAAGACTGTGCTGCTGATGGCTGTAGCACTAGTACTAAGTAAAGTAAAAGACTTCTGCTGATGGCTGTAGCACTAGTACTAAGTAAAGTAAAAGACTGTGCTGCTGACGGCTGTAGCACTAGTGCTAAGTAAAGTAAAACACTGTGCTGCTGATGGCTGTAGCACTAGTAATAAGTAAAGTAAAAGACTGTGCTGCTGATGGCTGTAGCACTAGTGCTAAGTAAAGTAAAAGACTGTGCTGCTGACGGCTGTAGCACTAGTACTAAGTAAAGTAAAACACTGTGCTGCTGACGGCTGTAGTGCTAGTACTAAGTAAAATAAAACACTGTGCTGCTGACGGCTGTAGCACTAGTACTAAGTAAAGTAAAAGACTGTGCTGCTGATGGCTGTGGCACTAGAACTAAGTAAAGTAAAAGACTGTGCTGCTGATGGCTGTAGCACTAGTGCTAAGTAAAGTAAAAGACTGCTGCTGATGGCTGTAGCACTAGTACAAAGTAAAAGACTGCTGCTGATGGCTGTAGCATTAGTACTAAGTAAAGTAAAAGACTGTTTTCCATGCCCTCAGGTGTATTTGGCAGTTGGTGGGTGATGTGGTCAACATCATATCGGCCAGGTTCACTTCACAGGACAATACCTGGTACCCACTCGAGGCTGGTTTAATCTGGGAGCCTAGATAATTTTTTTTTTTATGTCTGGCTGTGTCAGGACCCGAAACCTTTTTATCCACAGGCGAGTTTTTGGCTGCTACACCACGGCAGGCTCCCCCACACCAATACTAGACGTTTGTAAATTATTACAACTAGTTACTGTTGAAGTATGTGGCAGCAGCAGAGGACATTTGGAAGTATGGAGGAAGTTTATGCAGCAGTGCTAGGAGCATTTGTAGCATAGGGGGATAAGGGACTGACGGATAAACAGAAGAAGTAAGGAAAACATGAATATAGCATTGCTGGTGGCATCTGTAGTACAGGAGAAAGAGGGAAATATTGTGTTAGTGGAAGTAAAGTTAATGAATGTAGCAGGAGTAGTAACAGTTGGGGTGTAGGAGTAAACAGTGGGTGCATGGATGAATGTAAATTAAAATGTGATGTAGTCTGGCTGGTGGCAGTGGTGGTATCTGTTCTTTTTCTTCAGCATTCCAAGCCCTTGAGGTTCATTGCTGCAGATTTAACCCGCCTTCATTCATCTCTCTGGTTGGCCTTCTCTTTCCAGTTGGTGACACCAAGTGTTTGCAGGTCTGCCTGGACATTATCTCTCCATAATCTTCTTGGTCTACTTCGTGGTCTATGAGCATTATCTCCCTTATGTATATAGTTTTTACTTCTCTGTCATCTGACATTCTTTTAATATGCCCCAACCATTTCAGTCTATTAGCTCTCATGATGCCAGTGATCAAAAGTGATTTAAACAGATTATGAATTTTGTTGTTGCTTTTCACTCTCAATTTTCCACTGTTTGTATCTTTGATGGGTCCAAAGATTCATTGTAAGGCTGTTTTCGAAAAGCTGTAATAAGGCTTCATCTCTTTTAGTTGTGCTCCAAGTTTCAGAGCCATATAAAACGAATGGTCTTATCAATGTTTGATATATTTTGATCTTGGTGCTGCAATGTGGTGGTAGTATGCTTTTAATAAATAGTATGAGTAGGAAGGTAGGTAATAGTAGCAGAGTGCTGTCAAAAATATTGAAATAATAAGTAAATACACACCCAGGTACCATCGTTGAGAATGCGTCCTGTTTTGCCATCAAATATGATATCTTCTGATAGGTAACAACCAAGACCCATAACAAAGGCTCCTTCCACTTGCCCAATGTCAATAGTTGGGTTTAGACTGTGGATGAAATATACAGTGTTGCCCTTGTAATCTCACATTACTTTAAGCTGCCATTTTACACTCATGATAAAATAGTCTGTTGTCATTTTACTCTGCTATTTAAATTACTGTTTTTTTGTCTTTTTGCTCAAATTTTACAAATTCTGGTAAACAGGATTTCCCCTTTGATATTGAAAATTGGTTTATTAATAAGTTACTTTAATATTTAAAATATTGTTTATTGTCAATGTAATCTCATCAAAAGTACTGACATTTGAAATATTACTACATTAAAAATAATCTAACTCAATGTTTATATATCTTTGTACAGCTTTACATGCACTAAGTTTTCCTGCTATGTCTGGTACTGATGCAGTCTATGTTCCTAGAATGATCATTATTCATTCACCCAAACTGTTTGCCAACACAGCAGCTTTGGATCAATCCCGAGTGCAGCTGAAATTGGAAATGACAGGTAGCAGGTGTCAATACCATTTGTTCAAATTCCCCTCTTGTCGAGGATTTGGTTTCAGTTACCTTGGGTTTCTAACTCAACTAGGCTTGTAACAGATGCTAGGAAATGTTCTGGAAAGTAAAGGTAGCTGGCATTATACTGACTACCTTACCCACTCTTGAGGTGACAACTATTAAAAGTGGGACCGGTACCATGTACCTATTAGTGTTTTGTAATCATGATAAAGCAACACTGAAAGTAGAATCACTTAACTGTGCACTGTTTTACATTTTTCTAGATGTTAAAGAAATCTGTAAAGCTACCAATATCATCACATTCAAAAAAAGGTAATTTAAAACTGTTGATCTTCATTAAAAATATTACATTTTCATTTTCACATGATATACTAAATTCTAAATAAATTATTTAGTATCAACAACACCACAACTATACTAGCGGTTGCTATGTTTTGGTCAGTATAAAATCATAATCCTTTTTATTTGAGGTGTATCACTGGTGAATAAAGTGATTATACTACCATTTTTGGTTTCCTTGTAAAATGATCTATACAGCACAGTTCATCCAGCTGGGACAATTATTTCTGTTAGGACAATCTCTTCAGCCATTGAGGCAAGCCACTTCTCCTTTTCCCTCATTTTCTCTTCCTGATTATAGTTTTAGCCATTTGCACACAGCTGACTCAAATCCTAATCCCTAAACAATCTGATATGTCTGACTGCTGATGAAAGGTAAAATAAGAATAAACTCACAGGGAGCAAGTACAGCAGGGATCTACCAGTCTTCAGTAGAAATTATCCTCGTCGACACGCGTTTCGGCCCACGATTCCTAGACGCATTCGGAGGTGGGCCCACCTGAGTTCATGAAGCTCAGGGCTGGTTCCCTGCTGCACGGAACTACCAGATGGTGTTTTACTTTCGGCCAGAGACAAGACGACTTGGTGGTTTCGAAGGAGGTACTGTGAGATAAGAAGCCGCCACGGCAGCGTAATCAGAACAGTCCGCATGCCTGGACGACCGAGCGACAAGCTTATTTTGGTTTACCGGACACATGTTAGACTTTTATTAGCAGTTGGCAGAGGGACACTGGCAGACAATTTGTACACGATGGACTTTCAAAGGGATGAGAAACTCCTTTCCGCTAGACACCCGGACCAGCTCACTGAGGCCCGTGCCCTACGTTGTTGCGCTGCGTCCAAAGCCAGCTAGAGGCCCTTTCGGCTGCCTCTCCCAGTTTTTTGAGTGTTCGTTTCCGTTCATTACCGCGCAATCCTAGTTCTTTCACCACATTGTAGAGCGAAGTGGAAACGAGGCCTCTCGCTCCCACTTCGACGGCAAAAACCCGTACCGTGTAAGCCTCGTTTCTCCTCAAACCGGCTGCTAAATCACTGTACTTCTCGAGCTTGTACAAATGATTCTCCTCCATACGCGACTCAAACGGGACCGTCAACTCAATCAGGATGAGCTGCCGTTTTTGCGCAGAATGGAGAACGATGTCCGGTCGCAGGCCGGTTTTACGGATCAACTCGGGGTACCGTTCATGTCCTGGCAGATCAACCGCCAGTAACCAGTCCCTCGCAGAGTCTAGCACAGATGGAGCGAATGCGTTTTGTTTGACCTTACCTTTTGGAACCTGCCCAGCCTTGAGGAAACGAATGGGGACGATACTAGAACTGGCTCTGGCATTAGCCCTCATTCTAGCCTGGTCGACAACGGCTGCTAACTCCTTTAGCACCTTGTTGTGGCACCAGGTATAGCGGCCTTGACCTAGAGCTTTCCTGCACGCGGAAAGGACGTGCTAAAGATTAACTTCATTGTTTCGTGTCCTCAGAAGTCAAATCTCTGTCTTCTGAACAGCTGGCCACCTGCTACAAGTATCACAAAAAGCACAAACTTGGTGGTTCAGTTACGAGACTCAGGAAGGTGTTGACAACTTGCATCCACGAAATGAATTAGAAAGTGAACCTAAAATCTTCATAGTGATGTAAAGGGACCAGTTTTTCTATAAATTGGATGCTTATTAAACAGGCCAGCTCAAAAGAATCAAGACTGATAAAAAAAGTCATTGTTTTAAAACAATATAGATACCCACTGATAGGGGAAAAAAATGATTTTCCATAAAATCAGTGTTTTGTAATCATGATATATTCACACTAAAAGTAGAACAACTTAACTGTGCACTGCTGTTTTAAATTCTTCCGGATTTAAAAAAACAGTTTAATAAAATCACACTAAATCATGGAACTTTTATCTCTTTGTACCAAGGTTAGAGTTTTCATCCTTTGTACCAACGACTTTTTGGTTTCATATATTCGTACATCAGCATGTTTACAAAATATGTGTAAAAGAGAAAACCTTTCTCCAAAATCAGCCATGATGTCTACTCTCCTGATCTGTGATTCACCAGTGAGGATGTCCACCTCAGTCTCGATCACAGCAGCACAATAGGTGAAATAGTGGAACTTTGGATTTCCTGGTCCAGGGGAGAAGCTGTGAAATTATTGTATTGAAAAACACATTTATAAACCAGAACCTGACAACAGAAATATAATATACATCATTGAGAAAGTAGGCAAGTAAACCAGATAGAGAAACAAATAGAAATCAGTTTTTGAACTTCACTGTTTAGAACTGTTCCTATATAAAATACAGTAAATTAAGTACAGGACCTTTTCACACTGATGACACAGTGGACATATGAGGCTAGAATCCCTTTTCACACTGATGACACAGTGGACATATGAGGCTAGAATCCCTTTTCACACTGATGACACAGTGGACATATGAGGCTAGAATCACTTTTCACACTGATGACACAGTGGACATATGAGGCTAGAATCACTTTTACTGCCCAAAACATTACCTGGTACTTTATTATGCTGGGTCATTGTGAAAGCCGAGGTCAATTTTGAAAATTATTGGCTAATAATGCAGATTCACAACAAAGACATTCGGCCTGAAGAATAAGAAAGCAATAGTTACAGGAAAAAATAAGAAGAAAGAGAAGACTGAGAATAGGGAAAAGGAGGTGGAGTAAGAAGAATGAAATAAGAGAAGTAGGTAAGAATTGGTAAGGAAGAGAGAGAGAATGAAGAGGTGGAATTAATATGGGATTAGAGAAATTTAGGGAACAATGGAAAGAAGAAAAAATACAAGATTGAAATTACAAGAACAAAAATCAAGAGAATATAAGAAGTAAAAGAAATAGTACCTAAAAACTAAAACAACAAAAAGATGGAAATGAATGCAAGGGTAGCGTAAAATGAAAGGAGATATTGTCAGCAACATCTTAACAGTCTAGTAAAGCTGTGACAGAAGAAGGTTTGGGTTTACGTGTATCTGGCTGACAGGTCAACATTGCTCTTGGCACAGTTCTCACACAACTCCTTCCAGTCGGCGTCAGGGAACTTTTCTCTGATTGGCCTCATGCGTTCTTTCAGAATATTGCTGGCTTCTACAGCAGCCTATGGTCACAGAAGCAGAAAATATCATTGCTAGGTATGCCTGATAGTAGACTTTAAGGTTATTAATTTATAACGTACCCCAAACATGAAATCCCCCGTGGGAAATCCACAGCTGACCTGGCAGTCCATTATTTCAAGGGGTGGAAGTGTGCTGTTGTGTGGCGCTTTTTTTGAGTGTTAATCTAGTGTTTTCTAATGCTAACCCTAACCCTAACCCTAAACTTGGCAGTAGATAAATCGCGAGAAACTACAACCTGAACACCCTAGAATTTGTTGGGAATGTCTACCGTGACGTTGTCGTGACGTCAGGGGTAAGTTATAAATTAAGTACCGACTATAATATAACAACACAATCTCAAATTAAAATTACATGACAATCAATCAGTAGAAAAAAGAAACTCAGACCAATGTTTAAAATCAACAGCTGAATGCTAGCAGAGATTTTCCTATATATGATATAATTCTCTTCTTTAACTATGTCTCATTCCCTCTGTTCCTGCTGTTCGCATTGCTGTTTCTATGTGAACTAGCTGGTTGTTCATGATTCTGTTGTTTTGTCATTTGATAAATCTATGTTTCGTTTCACTCCATTTAGCTTTCTAGTTAAAATATGTCTCAAGATATTTTTTTAGTATCATTTCAACTGCAATTATCCCAATTTGTGACACACAATTTTCAGTTTTTTGTTATTTCATCAGTTCTTGTTATGCCTAGTGGTACATGAGGCTTCAGAGAGAACTTTCCATGCTTTCCTGTCCTGTGCAATCTTCAGTGCTGTTTTCCATGTCAAAGATGCCCCACTCAGGTCATTTTTCATCGTTCATCTCCATGTTGTTTTTGGGTGCCCCTGTTTTCTCTTTCCCTCTGGTGTCCATGTGAGAGCTGTTTTGGCAGATATATCAGGATTCATTCTCATAACATGGCCAAGCCATTTCCATCTTCACTTGGTTATCATACTGTTTAAAGTTTCTTGGTTTGTGACTTGAAGTAGTTGAGTGTTTGAGATTGTATCTGGCCTGAAAATTGTGATAACTCTATGTAGACATGTGTGGTGGAAGGTGGACAGCTTGTGTGCATCCTTTTTGGTCATTATCCAGCATTCAGCTCCATAAAAAAGAACTGGCAAAATGATGCTCTTGTAAAGTCAGAGTTTCGTTCCTCTGCAGTCACTGTTGGATTTCCAGATTTTATTTATTGTTATTTAGGGTGAGATAAATTTGCACAACATCTAGTCCACCTCCCCCCCCCCCCCCCCCCCCCCCCACCCTCTCCACCTAACATTTTGCATCTGGGTTAATAAACCTTCATTATTTGACATGCATTGTAACACATATGTTATATATATATCATCACCATGGTGATAATGATGATGCCGGTGATGCTGGTGGTGATAATGATGATAGTACAAACAAGATGTGTCATATGAAGTGAACAGTTAATAGAATCACAGACAATTGTCTGTGTGGAATATTAATCAGAAAGACTTGCATGAAAATTCCTCAACCATTCACCTAACTAGAACATTCATAAGATGTCCACGTCAAACATTTCCCAACACCAGCATGCATGGAAGATTTACATTCATGAGACACTCACCTATTTGAAACATTTACCAGTCACACATATACTGGGAAAATTTACGAGACACTGACCTCTTGGAACATTCACCAGACACTCAGATACATAAAACTTTCACAAGACACTTAACTCAGCAGAACATTCACCGGACACTCACACGCATGGAACATTCACCAACCACTCCCATACAGGAAGCATGGAACATTTAACAGACACTCACATACAGGGAGCATTCACCAGACACTCACATGCATGGAACATTCACCAGACACTCACATATATGGAGCAATTAACAGAAATTCCCACACACAGAACATTTAACAGACACTCACATACATGAAACATTTTACAGACACTTACATACACAGAATAATCACCACACACACACATTCATGGAACATTTAACACACTCAAACACATAGAAATATCACCAGACACTCACATACATGTGACATTAACCAGACACTCACATACATGGAACATTCACCAGACACTCACATACATGGAACATTCACCAGACACTCACATACATGGAACATTCACCAGACACTCACATACATGGAACATTCACCAGACACTCACATACATGGAGCATTTAACAAACATATGCACTAAACATTGGGAGTCGCTGTTGCGTTGGCGGCTAGATGACCGCCTAAGGGTTGGAAGGTCATGAGTCAGATCCTGAAGAAGTCTGCATTTTAAAAAATAAATACCTTGACTCCAAGGTCGACCCAGCCTTGCGTGGTACCAGGTGCAATCCTGGGAAGTAAAGGCGGCTGGCATAATGCTGAGAACATCACCCACCAAGTGCCAATTGGTCTATTAAAGTATAGGTCTAGCCCTATATTCCCAATACGTCAATAGGTGTGGAAAAGGAACCTTTATTATTATTTTTATTATTTATTAATGGAACATTCATCAGACACTCACATACATGGAACATTTAACAGACACACACATGGAACATTAAAAGACACATGCATGGAACATTTAACAGACACATACATGGAACATTTAACAGACACATACTGGAACATTTAACAGACACATACATGGAACATTTAACAGCCACTCACATACATGGAACATTTAACAGACACTCGCATACATGGAACATTCACCAGACACTCACATACAGGAAACATTTAACAGACACATACATGGAACATTTAACAGACACTCACATGCATCAAATTTTCATCAAACACTAACCTCCAGAAATATTCATCACTCACTCACCTGCATGGAGCATTGCTCAAACACTCACCTGCATGGAGGCCTCACTGCCAACACTGCCACCAGTAACGGTGTTGTTTGGTGCAATGATGCCCTGGTTGGGTCTGACTTTAACATTGTCAATAGGAACACCTAGGGCATAAGCCACACCTTGTGCAACCTATATTTTTTTTTAAAAACACCACATTACTGTTAGGTATGTCAGAATGGATGTTACAGGCTTTCTAGTTCTGTCATACTGGTAGCTTTCATATTTTGTGTTGCTGTTTTTTTTTTCTGTGTTGTTTTAAATTTGATTCCTTTCCAGATTATTTTGTTCCACTGTGCTATAGACAGGCATGGTTATCACAGCTCATGGTAATACAGCAAGACCAGCACACATTATGAAGATTATTCCACAATAAGTGCATTCGATTCAGGACCATTGTTGACATCATGGTATATTTAACATGTTGCTTCTCAGATGCTCAGCTCTCAACCTATCTGCAGTGTTCTCTTTCATCCCTATTTCCTTCCCAACCCCCAACCTCCCCCCACCCACCCACTTTTTCCCCCTAACTCAAGCAATATGGCATCCTGCTCCCATTAATCCACCTTAATACCTGTATCATTCATGCCTAGCTTGCAAGCATCTTTCAATCATAGCAGTCTAGGTTTTCTAAGCCCAAGATGGATCAATGTTCAACATACCTTCATGTAAACAGTTTTACTATTGTCATATTATTTCTAATTTTATTTTTTATTTCATATTATTATTTCATTCTTTCTCTTATCAGTACCAGTTATGAATCATTAACATTTGCAGTTCTACTACTCTTTTATTCTTACTATTATATATTATCACTTTTAATTTTATGACGACTTTTTTTTTAAAGCCTTCCTTTATTTTATTTTATTTATTCATTTCACATCACCTTTTCTTTTATAGTTTCCTCATGTGACCCCTTGATGGTTAGAATAATCTCCCCTTTGTTATTGTCATGTTGAGAAAAGCCACAGATAAAACATAAGTTTGAATGTTTTGTGCATGTTGTTCTGTTTAGTAGGGGTTATTTCTGACATCTTTTACCCATTCATTCTATTTGTAAGGTAGTTTTTTACAGCACAGATTTAAACTTGATGTACATTATAGCTTGCACTAAGCCCTGAAGATTGTGCAGTGTAATGTAGTCTCCACAATACCATGTCAACTCTGGTAGCCCATGTACCATATTTTCCCAAGTAAAGGACAACATGATTTTCCAGATTTTTGTAAGTTTCAAATTAGGGGTCCTCTTATGCAAAGAACGTGTCTAAAATACCTCCCCATGTGGTTTTTGGGGCCCTAATGTAGGGAAAACAAGAAGAGACCCAATGCTTCCCCGACAAGTATGTTGTAGGAGTCAACTAATTGGGGCTTTCCTTCAAAGTCAGAGTACATCTGCCCTAGTGCTAAGGAAAAAGCAACTGCACACAAATAAGCCAGTAAAATGGATGTTCACGCAAAACTCAGGCCCTGTCACAAAGCCAAAGTACAAATGAATGAACAGCCAGGACTTTCCACCAGAGCTTACAGCTGGCAACAACAAAGAATGTAGTAGAAGAAGTCTAAAATATTTATTTCCTAATTTTAGGCTTAAAAATAGGGGTCATCTTATACATGGGAATGTCTCGTACACACAAGAATATGGTAATCAATGATGTTAACAATGCAGCCTGGGCTATAGAAATAATATATCTTATCTCATAATGAAACTGTTGAGAGCAGGGATAGTGTAATAGCTAGATGCATTACTGCTAGCCTGATGATCTCAAGTTGGAATCCTTATCAAGTCAGATTTTTTTCAACACTGACCTTGGATATCAGGTCAACACACCCTAAAGTGGATACCAGGCAATGTCCTGGGAAGCAAAGGTGGTTGGCGTGATGCTGAACACATCATGCATCACCCCAAAGTGGGTACCCGGCAGTGTCCTGGGATCAATTGGTATATTTTTAACCCTACCAGACCTGAGGCCCTGAACCTAACTGCCCCCATACCTGAATTCCTGGGCATCAACACGGAAAAACCAACATGATATACAAAAATATTAGTTACATGCAGACAAGTGGTTAGATTAAGTTTAAACTTGGAGACATTGTAGAAAATAGGTTTACCTTTCATCTAGCGCCAATATTCCACCTTTGTGTGCAATTCCACCCATAAAGATCAGCATTGTTTTACAAAGGGGGCACCAGATTTTGCTATTTGAGAGACATGCCCCCTTCTCTTACTATCGATCTAGTTTTAAATCTATAATTTTCAACACTCTCCTCATCACTCTGACTATCACTTCAACTAGGAACGTATTCTTCACGAAATGCTGACTCCTCAAGAGTCTAAATCAACTAAAGTATCGATCATCTGTTGGACTGTGAAAAGCCTAGACCTATTTCACTTTCGTGTCGAAGTGCCTGGTTCATCAGCCGCTCGTTTTATTGTGAATTTTCTGAATTTTTTGCAGTCAAACCAAACAAAGAAAATCCAGACACACATGGGCAGCAAATCTCAATGACTAACCACAAGGTCTAATTATGACTGGCTAGTTATTTTTAGTTTTATTTCTCATAGTACGCAAATTCCCGACATTGAGGGACAGCGGTTTAGCGGCAGATTAGGAAATTCCTGTAATAGCGAGCCAGCGGTCTGGGAGAGTTAAAAATGTGTCTAGGTAGGTATGTCTTATGCAGCACACATTTTTTACTGTAACTGTTAGTGTAAACTATACTAATAAAAGTTCCTATGTCAGTTGTAGGCTCTGTTTTTAAATAAGGCAGTCTACCTTGGTGTAAAGCCCTTGTCCCATTTCCACGCCTCCCTGGGACACAGCGACAGACCCATCTCTGGCATAGATGGACACAGTAGCTCCATAGCCTGGGCCAAAATACATCATTCCATACTTGTTGGTGGTCATCGTGATGCCTCTCTTTTTCCACAAATTTTCCTTTAGTGAAACAAAGTTTTTAGGAGTTACAGGACCTGATGAAGCAAGTAAACAGATGAAGTGTGGAGCATGGATTAGACAAACAAATTTTAAAAAAAAACACTATGATGATTAACAATGGAAAGAAGCCACCAACAATGAACAACATAGTAAAAGGAGAGATATTACAACATGTAACACATTTCTCCCATCTTGGACATGTAATAACAGATGATGGCAGGATTGAAAAACTTTAAATAATGTGGACACAAACAATAGATTGTACAATTTACTGCCAAGCATATTTTATTGCACCATGCAGCAAGCAAAGATGAATTAACTCCAGTGAAATAAAAAAATAATTTTTTCTGCTCTTCTATCCAATTGCCGGAAGTTCACAATTATCACGTGATTTACCAGGGTAACTTTAAACTGACAATTAACTTCATCTGTTTACAAAAGAGAGGATTACACATTTTTATTATTAAAGCCTGTTATGTGTGTGGTAGATCCCACAGAAACACTGTCATAGCACAGGCCCTATGACATGACCAGGGATGAATGGCAAGGAAAGTCACTCTCTTTGTGAGCCCGACTTTGTGAGCTGTACCAGAGGTAGATTGCAGCCAATTTTCATTAAGGAGTAGGCATTTGACTGTTTGACTGAAGAGAATCAGGTCCAATGTTTAAAAAAGTTTGCCCAGAGAACATTTGTACTAACATTAAATATTTCGACACATAATGCACGATTAGAACGGACACTGAGAAATCTTAGCAAGCCACTGATATCAAGAAATTAATAAGCCATATTTGTAGGCACTGATAAGTACACAGGGAAGAAGCAAATAAGATTTACTATGATAACAGAGAATACACATTATAACAGAAAACTTGAGCTTTCAATATTCACCACTTACCTGATTGAAGGCGTCCACTTGTCTTATTCTGCCTTCCACTTCAGCTGTATCTTTCAGACGTCTCCACAGCTCTCTGATCGTACAGTCCTTCATATCATGACCATACAGATCTTTCTAAAATTTTAAAGATAATAATAAAACAAAACTAAATTCTAATTCAGTGAAACTCAAATAATATAATTAAATAATTCACAATTTCATAACATCAGACAATTAAATTGCTTATGTCATCAATATTAATGACTAAATTTTTCTGTTGGATCTGCTGCCAAAAATATGTTTAATCAATTCAGTTTTATATGGTTGTTCTAAATTTTATAAGTATTCAGTCAGGTACTAGAGTATGAAGAGGCCAGTCTGCAAATCAGAGCTGGAATTTGCCGATGACGAGGCCCTGCTTGTTAAATCAGAGGCCCAACTAAAATCAAATTTACTTGTCTGGAAGGAAGAACTCAAGAAGAGAGTGATGACAATCAGTATCTCCAAAACTAATACCAGGGTGATTTCAAGAGAGGAGAGGAAACATCAGATCATGATGGCATGATGGGACAATATGCATTGGAGCAGTTTTATCAATATCCCCTTCATATCGCTGTTGACACATAAGGCATTCACAAGTGATCTCCATTGCTGTCGGTCTGCTACTTTTCTGCCCATGGTATCCCATGTCAGTTTACATTCCTTCATTTCCCATTCTATTGTCCTTCTCCAGGTTTCCTTAGGTTGTCCACATCTCTTTTTCACATCTGCTGTCCACGGGAAAGCTGTTTTTGCCAGAATGTTACAAGGCATTCTGCAAACATGTCCAAGTCATCATCGTTTTACTTTAATAACATTTGCCAGTGATGCACATTCTGTTTTCCTCCTCAGTTCTTCATTTGTGATCTTGTTTAGATAAAATATTCATAGAATTTTTCTTAAACATTTATTTTGAAAAGTTTATGTGTAATTCCTGCTGTCATTTTCCAATATTCACTGTTGTATAATAGTATTCCTAATCTGTTGCTCTGGTATATTCTGAGTTTTGTCTTCAAATAAATCCCTTTGACTTCCATATAAAGAGAAAAGGTAAAGGTAAAGTCGGGAGATGTGAACCAGCATCATTGCACACAGTTATAATCCATTAGTGCTCTGACACCAGTGCGGACAGCTGATAAGAACTGTCCTCCTGTGTCGCCCTTCGCATGTAACTCTGTAGCTACAGCGACGTTCCTCCATTTACCCCAGAGTGTCAACTCTGGTACTTATTTCCTAGAGGCTGGGTGAACCCCGGAAGCCAACCGGTTTCGAACACCGACCGTGGCTGCAGTGAGCTGCAGCTGGATTTGAAAGCGAGCCTCTTATCGACTGCGCTAACGTGGCCCGCCTGACTTCCATATATTGTTAAGCATAGCAAATGCTTGATTTGCTTTGTTTATTCTTGATGTTTCATCCTTTTCAGAATCTCCAGCTGGAGTAACTTCACTTCTGTGGTATACTTCCTCTACTGCTTCAACATTTTAGATAATTGGATTTTCTGTTTTATAATTATTTCTCATTACTTTAGTTTTACTGATGTTTATTTTCAGTCCTATCTTAAGGGCTGTTGTTGAAAGTCTTTCAATCTTTTCTTGAGCGTACACATGATGGCTTGATTTAAGGCTGATGCCATCTGCATAGTCCAAATCCTCTAAAACAGAGGTAAGTCACCATCTGATGACTCTTTTTTCTATCTCGTGTAACTTCAGTGGCTAAACTGAACAAAAAGGGGGATAGTATGCATCCCTGTCTGGCTCCTGTGTTGACAAAGAAACTTTCTGTTGGATAATTATCACAAACTATCTAGCATTGAAACTTCAAGTAAATGGCTTTAATCAAATTTACTATTTTCTGTGGTACACCATAGTGACGCAAAATCTTCCGTAGTTATTCCCTATGCAGGCTATAAAAGGCATTTTCAAAATCAACAAAGGTCATATAAACTGCACTATTCCATTCATTATTTTGTTCAATTATTTGATGCAGCGTGAAGATGTGACCAATACATGATTTCTCCTTTTTGAATCCTGCTTGCTCTTGCCTTATGATACTATCAAGTGCTTGAGTCATTATTTTAAGAATTATCTGGCCAAAGATTTTACTTGTTACTGATAGTAATGTGATACCTCTCCAGTTGTTACAGTTTCCTAAATCTCCTTTCTTTGGTAATTTAATAATACAGTAGTATCCTTTTTCCACTCCTGTGGGATTTCTTCTGTTCCAGATTTCTTAGAAAATCTTACACAATAGTTTTGGCATTTCAATTTCCTCCAAATGGAGCAGTTCAGTGCAAATACGATGGAGCTGTAATGGACCAAAATAATAGGCAATAAGTCAGAGTTGTCTGCTCGGAAATCAGCAGCTAGTGGGTTTTTCCAGGCCAAAAATTAGGGTTTTTCAGCAAAAAAGAAATTAGTAAGAGGATAAAAATGGCTGTGTACATCTCTACCATGTGCCTGTCCTGACGTATGGGTGTGGGCAATGACAACAGCTCACAGAAGCCAGCTTCAGGCCTCAGAAATGAGTTATCTGAGAAAAGTATTCAAAATGACAAGAAGGGATAAAGTTCACAGCCAGACAGTATATAATGATCTTGAAAACCAGGCATCACAAACTTGAGTAGATCAGTCACAGGTACTATGGTTTCACATGAATGCAGAATGGAAGAGAATTGACCACCAGGGCATGCATGGAAAGCCAAGAACCAGGGAACAGACCACCAAGGACATGCATGGGAAGCCAAGAACCAGGGAACAGACCACCAAGGACATGCAGAGTCGACTGGTAAGACAACACCCTACAGTCCCTGACTGGTAGAGGACTGGAATGGAATAAAGCCAAAAACAAATATGCTGACAGAGAAGTCTGACAATCTCCCAGGCAAACCTCTGCAATCCAGGGTAAAAGGGGATCGACAAAGTAAGCAAAATCTTTATTATGATTCATTCATTGTTATACAGCTGTTGCTAATGATTTGATTCATGCATTTTATATAACTTCTCCTCTGGGGTCTCCTGGCTAAGTATCATGCTCTGAAGGTTGTTGGTTCACTGAGCGATGTGTCATTTAGCTGATAGGCCCAGTTTTTATGGAGAACCCTAGGGGTATTCACTAGAGCTACAGAGCTGGTGCTTTGTGTGACACTCTCAGCAACTAGCTAGCTTTTTTGTGGCAAGAGACTGTGCCATATTTGGTAACCCAGTGCAGTTAGGTCGATCCTCTTGATTTTAACTATTTTTAAATGCAACTTCTGACAGAGATATGATCTGTTTCAGTCCACCTGAAATTACAGTGGTTCAACAAGTACATCTCCACATAAAATGGAAACGTTACAAATGTGGGATTATGTACAAACATAATATTTAGATTTCACTATTCCACCCTTCCCAACACAACCCTCATCCCCGCCCCCCCCCCCCCCCCCCCCCCCACCTTTTCTGAATTTATGATAAGTAATTAAACAAAAGCTAATGGCTACACCAGGAGAGACACACATATAAATATTCTGCTTAGAGTTTTAAGGAAGATTTACAGTTCTGAATCTTGCTCTTCTATCTGCCATGATCATACACGCATCATGCTGTTGTAGAGCTTCTCTTATGTTATCTTTCCACCTTGTTCTTAGTTTATCGTGTGCTCCACATCATTTTACTCTTACAAAAAGAATGATGACAATAAAAACATAGGTACCACTAGGTGCATTGTTTTATAGTAAAAGTCCACTTCCCCAGCCTCAGGCGTATTGAGCTAGACCTATATTTTATAGACCATTCAGCACTCAGTGGGTGATGTGGTCAACATTGTACCAGCCACCTTTACTTCCCAGGACTCCATCTGGTACCCATTTAAGGCTGTGTTGACCTGGTAGCCAAGCTACGTTTTGACAAAGTCTGGTTCCGGCAGAAGTCCAATCCATGATCTTCAGGTCTGCAGGTGAATATCTAGCCTCTACACCACAGTCCCTCCCCACTGTTTTATAGAGCAGCCGTTAAGAACTCTTTCAGGACCATATTTTGTTTAAGGGTTTGGACAGCATTAATTTTGAGCAGAATTTGTTTACAGCAATACGACAAAGCTAAAATTTTCCTGAAGAAAATGTACTGGCTGTTTTGGGACATATAATATATCAAATTAAAGATAAATGAGTGCAAAATAAATCTAAACTATTTAAATGTCAGTATTACAACAAAATATTATTAAAATCACACAATATTCAAGGATGTTAGACACATATGAAGATTATGGACACAAAAAATGTTATTCTTACCTTACTTTATTACTGGTTCAACAACACTGCTATCCAATTCTAAGAATTCATATGCCTTCTCTGTTCAATGATGTATTAGCTAGTCTTTATTTGAAACAATTGATTTAAATACTTTGGATGTTATGATCATTTTTGTATGACATGTAAAATTTTACAACAACCGAAAATTGGGAAAAAAGCTGATTAAAACATTGATCCGATTTAAATATACTGTTCAGTTTTCATATCCTAAACTAAATTATCACCAATAGGTTTGTCACTTAAATATCAATCAAAATATCCAGACTGTTGTCACCATCTGGCAGAGATTCAACAACGACATAGCATATGAACAGTTCTAGACCTTTTCCCTTATAATTTAAAATAGGAAAAATATTTTCAATCAGAAAATAATGCACAGAGCATGATGAACTTTGCAAATGAAAGTCTTCCTTTTGCTAATCCTAATTGTTCAAAAACTTGTTCAAAGAAGTTTGTTTTACCTACAAACTGAACACAATTATAGTGTCTCTATCATACGCCAATTTACTGGTGATTCGTCCATTAGGGATACATTTTTTCGCCAGTTTACTGGCAAAACGTCTTTAAACAATTAGTTGGAGAATTACAAAAATTATTTCCCTCTTTGTGTTTGCAATTAATAAAGCACTGGCAATTTTGTTAGAGAAAGACTTGGATACTGATGGACTGATTCTATTCTGAGAAAACTCACCATCAAGTGCCTAGCCAAAAAGCATTAGCTATTATGCATATCCACAATCTGTGATCATCAACAGCATGTATCAGTTTATGTGCTGACATCCCTCAATGCCATCACAAAAGAGTGTCAAAAATCTTCTTGCATTGTATTCCTCTATCTCATTTTCATAGATTTTTCTAGTAGTCACAGTTTGTTCTAGTTTCCATCTTCTCATTGCATGACCAATATAAGGTGACTGTCTCTTTCTGATGTTTGTGATAAGATGTCTCAGAGCCCTAGCCTCTTTCAAATCATTTGGGGGGGGGGGGGGGGGGGGGGGGGGGGGGGGGGGGGGGGGGGGGGTTTGGTTGCTCTCCAATGAATTACAAGGATTCTTTTCTAAAACCACATATACAGGGTCTCAAGAAATTATTTGGCTTATTTGTTTTTTGTCCAGGATTGAGAATACTACATAATACAAAAATTATTGTAGTTAAATTTGAAATGATTAGGCTCAAGACTGCTTGCCAGTTGACGCAAAAGACATTCATTGAAATCCCTAACATCACATGGATTTTGCTAAACTCAATTTCTGTTCTCAGGTTGACCCAGCATTAAATGGCTGCCAGGAAATATTTACGGAAGTAAAGGTGTGACTTTGACCATTTCACTCAATACATAGCAGTTGGACTCTAAAAATATGTTGCTAGCATAGCATGTTCATTTCGCCACAAGGCAAGGAAAAATAATTTTCTAGACTTCTTGTGTTTGTTTTAGCACTGAAAGACAAATGTGGACCACATAAAGACAGATAATTACCTGATGTTTTTCATAAAGGTTGATTTCCTTCACAACAATAGGATGTTTATTCAATGTCTTAGCAACATGCTCCATGATGGTCTCAATGACAAATGCTGCAGGCACAGCACCTAGAGATGAAAGAAGTGCATTTTTACAAACACTTACATAAATGCACAGAGGGTGCATGAGGATGTAAAAATATTATATATATATAATAAACAAATAGACAACGTATTGATAGGCACTCACAGAAAGAAGTAGAAAGATAGAAGGACACACTAGACAATATAAAAATCAAGCTATAGTTACCAAGCCAGGAATCGAACCTGTCTCCTCCAAATGGTGTGTGCCTGCCTCGCTATGAAAACATGTGTACTCAGCACATGACCACTTCATCATCAAGAGCCTTGCCAAATGGTGTGGGCGATCATGCCTCTCCACAATCTGCGATCTGCTTGTATCAGTTTGTGTGTTGACAACCCTCCATGCCATGACAAAAGACTGTCAAGAATCTTCTCACGCTGTCTTTCTCGGTCTCTTTTCGCACAGATCTTTCCTGTGGTCACAACCTGTTCCATTTTCCCTCATCTCATAACATGACTTAAAAATTATGACTGTCTCTTTCTGATGTTTGTGATAAGTTGTCTTCGAGCATTCACCTCTTTCATAACATCACGACCAACTTCAGTGCAGTTTTCCATGTCAGAGATGCAGCACTCAGTTCACTTTCCATCGTTCGTCTCCATGTTGTTTTTGGGCACCGCTTTTTCTCTTTCCTTCTGGCGTCCAGGTCAGAGCTGTTTTGGCAGGTATGTTAGTTAGTTAATCAGAAGATTATCCTCATCGCACATTGGACAAATCCATAAGTGCTTGGATCCCATCGTCAGTTAATCCCTCAGCTTGTGGTGACAGATAACACCAGTTCTGTACTGGTTTAATGTTCTTTTTTTATTTGTTGCTACCTCTATAGTGTTAATGTTTTGCAACCGATCTGTTGATCTAAAGTTATTGTAGTCTTTTCAGTGTAGCTGATTCAAAGTCGTATCTTAAATCATCTTCTCGTCCGGCCTCCTTGAGAGAGCATTGAAAATGTTGGCCCGGTCCATTGCTTTAACTGTACCTACCATGGTCCTGCCAGCAAGCAAATCCGCTCGTTCATTCCCTCTGACCCCAAAATGTCCAGGTTTGAACTTTGTACATGTGGAACAATAGATCCCTCAGTGTAAATAACTGCACCTCTATCAGCAAAATTTTCAAGAATTAGGGCTTGAACTTCTGCCTCATCTACCAACGGGCCTTGTCTGCAATCTCTACCCAGTTTTATGCAGACTGAAAAGGATGTATCCCACTCTGCTGGCACTTGTACCCATCCCCGGCCAGGTTCTATGTCCTTAGTTGAACAAACTTGTTGAATAATGTCCTTGGCCTAACCCACCCTGGAATTCTCTATTTTTAACCTGCTACCCTTCTTCCTGTGAATCTCACCATGCACTTGATTGTGTGTATCAGCAATGATATGAAGATACGCACATGCTTGGCAGATCACTGTTCTCACTTCCATGGTTGGAAGATCAAGGAAGTAACAAATCACTCTGCATGCTGTTGTTTTTTTTTGTATGTGCATCTAAGTATGATGTGCATGGCCTTATACTGTATCTGTTCTAGTCTTTCTATCTGTGTACGGCTAAGATTCAGAATCACAGGTATATCAGGATTCATTCTTATGATAAGGCCAAGCCATTTTCATCTTCTCTCTGTTATCATACTGTCTAGAGTTTCTTGGTTTGTGACTTGTGAAGTGTTTTTTCTCTGATGTTAGCTCTTAAACTGTCTGCAAACCATTTGTCCTTTTTGACTACAAAACATGTGACAATTATGTGTTTATAAGATAGTTTCAAGCCTAGCTGTAAACCACAATACAATGTGCTGAATGCTTTTAAGAGTGAATGCAAAAAAAAGAAATGTAAAGAAACACTATACACAATCAGTGATAGGTCATATCTGTGTAGTATTTCAAATGTACCTAGACTTGTATTGAAATATTTTGGCCACAATGAAAGACATTACATACTTGTAAAATCATAAAGGATAGATAAGTTGAAGGTAAGACAGCTTGAGGTAAACGATGATACAAGGGGAGGGGGAGAGGGGGCATAATATAAAGAGATGGATGAACAGCAGTATGTGGGAATGTACTACCAAGACAAGAGATTTAGTGTGCAATACATATCCATTGCAAACAACTTTCATTGCAATGATGGTACCTGACTTATGAATTGAGACATGCATTAGAAGAGAAATACCTGGAGCCCTTGTTGGAGACATTGTCTGCTTGTTTGTCCACATTGGGTGAGGGCGGATCTTCCAGTTGGGCACAAAGTAGCCTGAAATTTTTGGATTTATTAGTGATTTCTACATTAAATTATTGTAAGCCTGATGTATTCATTGATAATTTTGTTCACATATGTATACACACGTGTATGAGTATGACATGTGACAGAAAACTAGCTGATTGTCAAATATCAGTTACCATTTAAGTAATGTGAGAAAATCTGCTCATGAAATATTATATAAGATATGAAAAACATAAATAAGCTTTCCCCCGTGTGTCACAGAGGCCCTCACGGGGAAGCAAAGAAAAGTAACACTTTACAACCGTGCCAAGCTTGTTGTAAGAGAGTAGGGTTGGGTTTGAAGTTGGCTACCTCATCCTGTAAAAATAATAGCCACAAAAACTAACCAACTATGGAAAAGTCAAAAACAGAAACAAGAGAAACCCAGCCAAAAGATGGAGAGGACATGGGGAGAGCTGCATTTGATGGTAAAGGATAGAATGACCTGGCATGAGCTGGTTGATAGCCTATGCTCCATTGGGGGTTTGTCATGTGCTAAATTGGGGTGACAGCACACTAAGATATAACCAAGTGTCGAGGAAATAACTTGTGCTCGAACTCCATATCCACTCGCACCAGACTGCTGTACACAACGCTCGAGCATAGTGTCAGGAAAACTCAACAACAGTTGTTCCTCATTCATTTATTCACAAGAGAGTTCGGTCTACCAAGCCGCACACAATAAATGGTATAAAGCAACGTGACATATGTCCTTATGTTGGCTAACATGGAATTAACCTCATTATGCTTCATGCTCCCAAAAAACAGTCCTAGCGGCGCTCCATAATACAGCTTACAACTTGCTGTTGATCAGACTCTTGAGCTGAAAACTTTAGTGCCTTGGTCGCTGGCTAAGCCTCACATCATGGCTAGCAGTAAGAATGAACAGGCTCCATCTAAATTACACAGCTGACCTCCGTTGATATACTCGTAAGATGCACTTTACCTCAGCTGACTGAGAACCTCTACAATCCCCAAGCTCCCAATATGCACACAGCAAATCAGCCACATAGATAGATTTTACACAGAACAGCAGGACTCCAAACTCTGAGTACCCTAAGCAGACAGCCAATGCTGTCATCTACCAGATTCCTCCTTTTACGTAGAATTACTGCCTTGTTTCAGTAGTGACCATGACCGCCACACGCGTCATCACCCAAGGACAGTTATCTTACAGAGGAACACACAGCTCTTCTCTGCTCAATTCTTCTCAATGACTCTGTCCTCAACTCTGGACTGCTCTGTCCTCAATTCTGGACTGCTCTGTTCTTAACTATGGACTGCTCTGTCCTCATATACATGCCTGCGTTCTCTGTGAGCGAAATATGCCTGGCAATCATTTGTGCAATCTATTGTGTGTGTCTTATATGTGATATTTATCCAGATTGATGCAAACTGTATGTTAGAAAAAAAAAGAAGAAGAAGAAATACTAACCCATGTCCATGTAGGTCATAATGTGAGCCAACTCTGAAGCATTGCTGTCCAACATTCCACAATCCAGATACAGGTCAACATCCACCACCTGGACATCCCCAGAATTACTGAATCCCACCTGTTTTAGAAAGGGGAATGGGGGAGGGGGGAAAGGGGGGGGGGGGGAATAATTATTTTTTACAAGAACAAGTTATCTTAACTAGCAATTAAGGTTGCGAAAGACCAAATATTTCTTTTATCGGAAACTTTCTCAAATTATTATGCATTCCCACTGTTGAATAAACAAATAATACAGGAATGAGAGAAAGAATGTTAATCATCATCATCATTATCATCATTGTAAGTATGTACTTTTGCTGATAAGTATCATAAGGAGGAAGACTATGCAATCCACTGCTTGAAGGTTAGCATTGGGTACTGTCATCCTGTGTCGATGTAGAAGGTCTTTAATATTATCAGTCTATCAGTTCCTAGGGTGACTTCTTGCTTTCAAATCAGATCTTTCCAGGTGTAGTTTTTAAAATATTGTTACTTTTTCGAGTAGGAACCCTTATTTATAATAGCCAAATGATCCATTATTCCCTTCTACAAAAGATAAGCAACCTATCAGCTAGGTTGTAAACTTGAAACTTCGTCCAAATTTGCTTTAAAGATCACTACCAGTGATTCCCCCATGTGGGTTCCGGGGCCCTACTATGGGAAAAACAAGAATAGACCCACTGCCTACCCAAAAGCAGGTCGTAAGAGTCGACTAATTGGGAGCTTCCTTCGAAGTCGGAGTGCATCTGCCTGAGAGGCAATGAACCAACAGTCTGCATACAGATCTGTCAAAGGAATGCACACGCAACACTCAGGTTCTGGAACAGGACTGCAGTCCAGAAGTGGACGAACAACCAGAACTTTTCACCAGAGTTCACAGCTGGTAAACATGAAGAAGAAGAAGAAGACTACCAGTGATGTAAAGATGAATTAGCAAATGTTTTGTTTTCTGGTGAATATTTTGTTCCTTTTAATTGCTAGCAGAGATTCTTTTGAAAACAATGTTTTACTTGTATATGCTATATTTCGGATAAATACCAAAGGTGCAGCCAGAGAAGTTTTAGAAGGCTTGACATAGAATATAATTAAAACAACTGTTTAACTCATTCGCCCTGCAAATGCAAAAAAAAAATGGGTAACGAACCCATTGGAATTTCCTGAAAAAAAGTCATAAAAATTTTTTTTACATAATATACTAATAAATTTTCTTAAAATTTAGCTACATCTTTACACATTTCAAACAAATAAATATGTATATATATAAAAGGACTAATCAGTTGTATGAAATGGAATAAATTTCTTACCACCTAAAAACAATATGCATCGGGTGACCCATGATGTGACAGGAGAAAGCTATCACAGAGGCTTATGGAAAAATTTAACATCAGCTTTGTTTAAAAAAGTCATTTAGGTCATAAGGACTCCTTCCCCCACCACAATTATACTTTTAATTTTTATATTCCCATCATGGCCTTTGAACACTGGGCAGGAGCACAGAGAACCAAAGACTAACTGCACTTTTCATGAATACAGGCAGTGCAAACAGGCTGAGATACTGGCATTGATGAGACTGTCAGAAAAGGAAGTAGATTTGTCTTCTCAGGGGACAACAAGGTTAATGTTGTGCACTAATTGGAAGCTTTTGTTGCTATTTTATGTATGGTCAGTAGTTAACTTTTGAGTTTTTTAAATTTATTGTACTTTTTATTAGTGCCACATGTAATGAGATAAGAACATTGCACAAATATATGAGTATTTGAAGCTTCCACATGAAAAAGCATAAAGCAGGAGAAGGTGCGACAAAAGTGCAGCCCGATGTACCACCAAAAGAAAAGAATCATTAAATTGATCAGGAAACCACCAGCCCCAGCACAAGATGACTATTTTATTATGGACAGACCAGAACAAGTCATTATCCTCCGCCTCAGAACAGGGCACAACTGATTACGTAACCACATGTACACAAAATTCAAGATAGGTGTATCAGCCATGTGCACCTGAGGAAAGGTGCCCCAGACAGCAGACTCCAGGACTGCACCGAATTTGACACATTAGGGCAAACCTTTTGGCCAGAAAGAACAACAGTGGAATGTAAACTCTATGGACCACTGAATGAACTAACAGCAGTGAAATTTATACAAGAGACAAAATTGCTGATATAGACAACTTATTTCAGGCGAACAAAAAGAAGAAGAAGAAGAAGAAGAAAAAGCATAAATAAAGATATTTGTCTAGAAGGTACAACAGGTTGAACTATTGTCACAGCTGGTTTAATCTTTGGCCTATACCAGTGACAACGGATGCAGAGATGATGTGCCAGTGTTAGATAGCATACTTCTTCTTCTCTTCCACCATTTACCTCAGTGAGGTGGCAGGGGGAGGGCGGGGGGAGGAGGAGATGTAAGGATCATTTGTGAACTTTTTTCAATGCATTATACAAACTGGTATTTATTTCAGTTATGTTGCTTCTGATGATGTCGCTCCATCTCTTGCATGGTCTTTCCCTTGCTCTGTGTTCATTATATTTCTTCAGCGTAGCTCTCCGTGGCAGTTGGTACCAGGGCATTCTCATCAGGTGGCCAACCATCTCAATTGTTGCTCTTTAATAAACTGTATGACTGGTTTCAGTCCTAGTCTTCTTCCGATTCCCTTATTCTTGATTTTATCTCTTCTTGTCACACTGACAGCATTCCTAAGACATCTAATCTCTTTTGTTACAATTTCTGCTCGTTAGTTGTAGTAAGGGTCCATATTCGGCACTGGTAGCACAAGCAGATACTAGTCTGGCTAATACAGATTCTGTCAGTAAATAAGTAAAGGACATTTTTTATGCCTTCAACTCCAGTGGAAAGTGTTAGCTGTTTGCCCACTCCTGGACTTTAGTTTTATTCCAGAACTTGAGTTTTGCATGCACATCCATTTTACAGACCTGGCTTTTTTTGTAAGCAGCCTGTTGGTTCCTCACCTCTCAGGTAGATGCACTCTGACTTCAAAACAAACTTTATAGACCAAACTCCAGCCTTCTACAGTCAGAATATCTACTCCAAGTATATCTACATAAACAAACAATTGATATATATATATATACAGCCTTACCTTGTATTTTGCCAGGAGAGGTGATCGCTTTCCACACATCTGGATGTTTGTTTCTAGATCCAGTGATATACGCACTGGTCTGAGAAAGTACATTTATAAATAAAAGTCAGACCATACGTCAAAAAATAAATAAACACAGAGAATTGTTCAAAGAAGATTCTGTCCGTAGCTTAGGATGTTTTAAATTGTTAATGGGTACATTTCCCTACCCTGAGATTTATGGGGCTTGGCCCATATGTTTATACATAATTTGACACTCAATAAGTAATGTGGTTAGTATATTCATGGATTTGGGGTATCTTCTTCTGCGTTTATCCCAAGATGTAATTGCATTGTGTCCGTTTACAGCATGGCTGCGATATTTGAACCTTTTGGCCAACACATCAGACTTCTGCGGGCATTTGTTGACCGGGTTAGCCTTCCCGGTTAGTTTCTGGGGACATGGCAGTCTCATTGTTGTGTGGTTAACTTCATTTCCCAGGTCACAGGTGGTGCCCCAATCAGGCTGGTCCAGAGAGGCCACGTAATGCTGATCAGCTCTCAAGAGAAGGCAGGGGCAGAACATGCATTCCCCGCCATCAAAGGAGGCTTCCACAAATGCAGAGCTAATAATAAATACATGGTGCTCTGATACTGGGCTCACCCAAGGAACCGTCACGTCCTGCTCATGACTGTTTAACCTCACTTTCATATATTGAACATCTCATACATCATGGGCTATCTCTTTTCTAGCCAACAGTATGCAGAATGCAGACCTGGGATTTCATTTACCTACACCACAATTTGAGTACTTTGCTTCTTTTGCATGTCAGACTTTTACTGCAGTGGACTTCCTAAAACAGTAGTTTGCTTGCTTACTTGCTGGTCTTGTGGCGACATATTCAAATCCCTAACAAGCAAAGATTTGTCCTTTTTTCTTTTTTTTTTACAAATTCAGTTGGGGTCCATGGTTGTGTCAGCCATCTATAAGTATCATGTAATGTTTCAGAAAGCAAAGATGACCTATGCAATGTAACCTCGTCATTGTGACATGTCGCCTGCATAGTTTTTGGTTATTAGATTTTTGGAAACTTTCAGCTTCACTGTCTATTCTGAGCAAAATATAAATATAATTACTGAAAATGAAATTATGTGAATTAAAGAAAAGGACCCTTTTCCACACCTTCAGGAATACTAGGCATATAGCACTAGACCTATATTTTATAGACCAAAAGGCACTCGGTGGGTGATGTGATCAACAACGGGCAGATGCCTTTACTTCCCAGGACCTTACCCTGAAAAATGTCTGCGTCCATCAGGACCTAAAACCATGAGCTTCAGATCTTCAGGCGAGTGTCTAACCACTACACCGGAGAGCCTCTTCTGTGTGAGTTGAAGACTTTGAAATTCTTTATGTATAGAGACTGTTAGATTTAGAAAAAAGAACTTTGAGTTAGATGTGGGTAGCATGCCATTTTTTAAAATTATTCTTCATCATCAGCTTGAGCCTGGCCACATAGCACAGGCATTCATGTGTATGCACAGATTTTACTCTCTGGTGTCCTGAATTAGTTATTTTGATGAAATTCCTCCATGTGATCATCTAGACAGGACACCACCATTAATCTTCGACACTTCACCATTATTTACCTCAGACCTTCACCACCATTTATCTCAGACACTACACCATCATTAATCTCAGACACTACACCATCATTAATCTCAGACACTACACCACCAATAATCTGAGACTACACCATCATTAATCTCAGACACTACACCACCATTAATCTCAGACACTACACCACCATTAATCTCAGACACTACACCACCATTAATCTCAGAGACTGCACCACCATTAATCTCAGAGACTACACCACCATTAATCTCAGACACTACACCACCATTAATCTCAGACACTACACCACCATTAATCTCAGAGACTGCACCACCATTAATCTCAGAGACTACACCACCATTAATCTCAGACACTACACCACCATTAAACTCAGACATACACCACCATTAATCTCAGACACTACACCACCATTAATCCCAGACACAACACCACCATTAATCTCAGACACTGCACCACCATGAATCTCAGACATACACCATCATTTATCTCAGACATACACCATCCTTTATCTCAGACATACACCATCATTTATCTCAGATTACATCATCCTTTACATGTCTCTATCTGCCTCTTCTACAACTGGTCTCTTCAGCTGTCATCACACTCATTAATGCCAAAAGAACACTGTCCTTTTCTTATGTAAATGGCCATAATTTCATTAACTCTTCTGAGACAATCAATAATAGTTACTCAAACTGCTCAAAGTATACAAAAACCACATCTATACATTATATCCCAACTCTACTTAATGATATTCCCCTCCCCCAAGATTCATTGCCTTAATCCAAACTTGCTTGATGTAATATTTCACTATTCTCTTACAATAAAGAAAAAAAATTAATGTACCTGCCAGTGATGTATGCACCCAGAGAGGCAGCAGCAGACATAGCACATGAATCCCAGGCTTTGCCACCAAATCCACCTCCAAGCCGAGGCACTGTAACGTTGACACTATGCAAACAAACAAACAATGTTATTGCTTTATTGAGTTTCATTGCAGTTGCACACTATAAAACATGTAAGCAGCAATGATTTCTGTTTAAATGGCAAGTCAAAATGATACTGAATTTCACATGTGAAACAAATTAACTGGTTTTTAAAAGGGCTGTGTCCAAAAGTTTTTACTGCTTCAAACTGTTGCCACGACATGAGTAAAGCTCTTATTTCATAAAAAGTTCTTGCCTTCAATGACAAGAATCTAGCTTCTGGTCTTCCTATCATCTTTATCAAAGGTGGTGACTGTGTGTCACATTAAATAATCTCCAGAATCATAGATCAGGTCAGGGATCTTGTCTCACCCATGCCATGTGACCACACCATTCTATGCAGGTACTATGTTTTTAGCTTATTTTCCATATTTCACAAATTAATTAGACATTCCACATACCTCATTGCTGGACAATATAATTACATTCTTGTTCTTCTTCTCTACCACTAGCTATCTCAGTGTTAACAAGTGTTAGGGGATAGACGGAAGATGGTATTTAAAGATCATCTAAGTGCTTTTCCTAAGATAACAAACAATCTGAGATACGGAGGGGAAAAACACAGTAAACAGAAAGCTAATAGAACAAGTAACAAGTTTTTTTCATCTTGAACATGCAGTAACAGATGATGGAAGAAGTGAAACAGGAATGAAAAAGAGAATAGGAATGGCTAAAACTCTCTTCAATAAGATGCACAAATTACTGACAGCTAAAGAACACACTAAAAATGAGAATCTTCAAATATTATGTATACCCAATCCTGCTCTATGGTGCAGAAACTTGGGCAATGAACAAGCAACTAGAAAGCTGAATTAAGTCTCTAGAAATGTGGGTATACAGAAGAATAGGTCATATTTTACAGATACAACAGTCTAATGCAGAGGTACTGAGGGGACTACAAATGAGAAGAGAGTTGCTGAAAGAAACAAAGAGACAACTGAGGTACTGTGGCCACATTAAAAGACATAACACGCTTCTGAAGGCCTTAATGGAGGGAAAGGTCGAAGGAAGAGGAGCAAGAGGTGGGCAAGGATACAAGTGGGAGGAAAAAATCAAGAGATGGACGGACAGCAGTCTGAGAGAGTGTACAACCAGGGCAAGAGACAGAGAGTGTTGAAGATCCATTGCAGCCAACCTTCACTGTGGAGATGGCACCTGACTGACTGACTGACTGACTGATTGATTGATTTCCTAAGAGCCACCAAGAAAGTGAGTCTTGATTTTCCTAACACTGTTCTTAAAGCTGATGTTTTATCTTTTGCACAGTGGTCTTCCCCTTGCTCTGTTTATATATATATATATATATATATATATATATATATATATATATATATATATATATATATATATATATATATATATATATATATATATATATATATATATATATATATAAATATATATAAATATATATATATTTTCCTTCCTGTCTGTGGAAATTGGTACTAGGGAATTCTTGTCCAATGGCTGAACAATTTGATTTGTTGCTCTTTAATAAATGATATGACTGATTGTATAACTGAATCATAAATCGGCGACCAGGTCGCCCATTGGCTCATCGGTAGATAACTTCGGTTGTGACAATATTTGGGTCTGTCTCCTTTGATCACATCAACATTGTAGGAGTTCTTTTCAGGACTTGTGATGGCATGCAATGCTAAGCCATTTTATATGGTGCACATAACCAAGTCACAATTACAACCTAAAGCTTCCCCTTCATGGATGCTGGCTGAACGTGACAATTTTTTTTCCAGCAAAGCTCCTACCTAAGTATAACAGAGTCTGTCAAACTTACAAGTTCATGGGCTTGCCAATAATGCCTGAAGCTGCATGCTGGTTCATGTCTGAATACTGGGATGCTGCAAACAAGTCTATCCCATCCTCAGATGGTACAGCCAGCGACACCTAAAACAAAAGATTTTGTTTGAGCAGTTGATACGTTGTTTCTTTAGAAATATATGCCTGGCAACCCTGATATGTTTGGTTTTTATATACTACGTCTTTGAATAGTTAGGATGAAGTGACTAGTTTCCTTCTTCACAGATACTCTCATAGGTGTGAAGTGTTGGCTTTGAAGAATAATGTGTGGATAAGGTATTTCCTTTGTAAAGTGCTAGTCTGCACATGTAGTAACTTACTGGATAATATGATGAAGTGAATGACTTCATTTATTTCCACAATTCTCTTTCAAAAAATTATACGAAGTATTGGCAATCTATATAGTCAGGCTGATGTAATCTGATTACTAATGGTAAAGTTCCTGATCACTAGCATGGCTAGACTGATCTGGTCAATACTAGAAAAGACAGCAAACCGAACAAAAGGTAAATCAGAAAGATTCACAATATAACGAACACAAACAAAATGTGAATGTTGCGGCTATGGAGCCTTTACTAGCGCATACATAAATAAAACAATACCACACAAATACACAAAATCACTTAGTTTAGTATTTCGAAGTGGCCAGATCGATGCCTTATCTGTAGACTGACTAGACACGTGGGACAGGATAATAAACACCCCCGGGGAATTCCAGGGGCTGTAACTGTAGGGTTTTAAATAAAACAGTGTGGGCATTTCAATCCCCCTAGGATTTTAGATGAAACTGTGTTGGCAGTTCATTCCTCTAGGTGTTAAGTGCCTAAAGTGAAAATAAAGCAATTTTCAAGAGACTTGCGGACTCTGTCACTGAAGTGGCTAGATTTTATGGCTGTCACCTCCATGTCATGGATACCTTGGTGTTCTTGGGAATTGAAGTGCAATGGTACTGGTTTTAAGGCATCGTTCTGCAAATCAAAAGATGTTGTCTGAACCCGTCGGCCAGTTGTAGACCCGTTTCAATGATGTATTTCATGACACATCTTTTGAAGTTGATGGTGTAAACGACAATGCAGTTCATGCAATAGAATGCTTCACGTATGTGGAAGGTGGCATTCAGGAATTCCAGATTTGTTCCTGAATCACAAATAGACAAATCTTGCATATGGGTCTGTGGTATGAAACCATGCTGAAGTGGGACTCTGACCGGACCCTCTAGAGCAGAGCTTTCTAAACTGTACATTATGATGCATTTTAGTGTGTTGGCTGCAGTGTGAAGGTGTGTTGTGAGAGTGTAAAACATTCTTCTTTACGTCCTCTTTTACCGCTTCAGAGGTCGAGAGAGTGTAAAGCCTTAAACAGAATAATCTGCATGAAATGTAAACTTTAACCACTGTTTGGCTTATGGTTTAAATTCATTTGTCATGAACTTATGTATGTCTAGAAAAAAAAAGTGTATCACAAAGATGACAAGTTTGGAAAGGGCTAACCTACATGAATGGATTTGGAAACTAACAATTTTGTTAAATTTGTTAGCTACTACTATTCTTGAAGACTGCTTCTCAGAGATGCCTCTGATATCCTGAAGCACAGCTATAATTGTCACTCCAGGGTGTTTCTGATATCTTGAAAAAATTGACAATTATCTCTGCTATGTAACACTGACATATGTGAGGATAATTGTAACTGTCACTCTAAATGTGCCTCTGATATCTTCCTATACAATTATAAATATCATTCTAATGTGTCACTGATATCTTGAAACACAACTATAATTGTCACTCCAATGGGTGTCTGATTTCTTGAAAACAAAATTGTAATCGCCACTCCTATGTGTTTCTGATACTTCACAGACAGCTACAACTGTGTCTCACCTGTGTTTCAAGATAGAAATGGTACTGAGATCCCATTCGACATTCACCTTCTATTGTTTTATCAGCAGTATTGAGTGTTTCTGAAAGACAATTTTTCTCAGACTTAAAATCAGAACATCACAGAAGACAAACAACACTACAGAAACAGAATCAGATATCAAGCAATGTAACGACCATTTCAAGAACACACAGTGGGAGTTGCAGCCGGCCAAAGGTCTTGGGCCTGAATTCACAGCAAAGTGGGCATTTATTAAATGACTTTGACTCCCAGGTCAACACAGCCTAAAATAGGTACCAGGTAATGTCCTAGGAAGTCATGCAGGTATGTTGTGGATCATCATCATCAGGTGCCTTGCCGACTGGCATGGGCGATCATGCCTCTCATTAATCTGCGATCTCCTGCAGCATGTATCAGTTCGTGTGCCAACACACCTCCATGCCATGCAACAAGATTGTCAAGCATCTTCTCTCATTGTCTTCCTCTATCCCTCCTTCCACAGATCTTTCCAGTGGTCACAACATGTTCTATTTTCCCTCTTCTCATAACATGGCTGAAAAATGATGACTTTCTCCTTCTGATGTCTGTGATAAGTTGTCTTCCGGCTCCTGCCTCTTTCAAAACCTCTTGGTTGCTCTTTTTGGTTGTCCAAGGTATTCTAAGCATTCTTCTGTAAAACCACATCTCTGAGGCCTCTAAAAATTGTTTGGCCTGCCTACCGATTGTCCAGGATTCACATCCATATGTTAAAACTGGATGTATGTGGATCACTTCACCCATTAAGTGCTGATTGGTATAATAAAACAAACTGTGAGTTTAGCACCATGCACCTGATGAGCCTATATGGGTCCTACTCTTTACTAAGAACAAAATCAGCTTATCGAAGAACATTAACACAACAACAAAGATAGAATTAGTATATCTTGAACAATATTATATTTGATGATATTAGGTAGGTAAGTTGTACCCCACCAGGACATCACACAAGTGATAAACACCTGGTGACACAAAGTGCCACTATGCGAATGAGTATCACCCGTGGAGAGGTCCCGGAAACCCTTTTCAGCTGTTAGGCCATGTTTAAGGCCTAGCTATATTTAGGGCCCCCGGCAAAAGCCAGGGTGGGGCTTCAAAATAATGACAAATTGCATCCCATATGGGGACGACTTTTATGATATTATTATATTAAAGACTGTTTAGTGGGTTGCTGGACCAGTTATTTTCTGGACACATTATGGGAATTCTGGTGTGTACGGCAAGGAAGTGAAAAATTTTAAATAATCATCTTACTGTTATAGTTATTTCATTCATGTATCTTTCTGTGAAGCACTGATGAACAAGGATGTGAGCTATAGGCATTTTCCTTGATTTGATCTGATTTGATTCAAGAACCGACATCACAGCACTCGGGGTATTCCCATAAGTGCTCCGTCCCCATCTTCAGCAGCCAGTGAAGAGTTCTGATACTAATGGTGCCAGTAGCATTCTGATTAAACGTCTGTCTTGCCTTTCCTCTGAGCCTCGAGCATCTGCCAGAACCTCTCGTCACTCCCTGCTGCATCAATCTCACCAGACTGTTGTGATCCATCTGCTCCTCCAAACTTTACATGCTCTCCCACAAGGCACTAACCACGTCTGCCTTATCATGTATCAGTATTCCACCAAGTTGTGCAGAGCCAGCCAGTCTGTCCGCCTGTTCATTTCCCAACACACTGGCGTACCCGGTGAAAGAAAAACAGACAATACTCCTCACCCATAGACATTTTCCTTTTAACAAATGAGTTCTCCAAGATAGTAAACAGCAAAAAAGGACAAACTGACTGATTATTTATTGACCAGTCAGGTTTTGATAGATTTAGTGTTTTTATCAAATTGACTGTCAAACTGCTAAATTTCATTCAGTGCTAATTTGTCAAATTATTTATCAATGTGTTAGAATCTCACCTAGTGCATATCAAACTACACATCAGACTGTTAGAATTTCACCCCAGTGTTTATCTGTTAACTACATGTCTAAATGCTAGCATTTCACCCGGTGTTAATTTGTTAAACTATTTGTAAACTGCAAGAATTGTATCCACTGTTTCAAACTAACTGTCACATACACTAGAATTTAATCCAGTGTTTATTTGTCAGACTAATAGTAATTCAACTAGTCTTACCATCGGGAGTTCCTAGAACAAACTCCTTTACACCAAACTCATATTGCTTGTTTTGGGCAATGCTTTCTTCTATGCTCAGAACTGGTGGGTGAATGCTGGAAACATTGACTTTCACTTTCCTGGCAGCTGCATTAGCCTGGCTCTGAGTTTCTGTTTAAAACAAATTCAACATTTAAGCTTTGTTACTAACAGTCGGCATCTGCGGCTTAGGCATTGCGAGTGTGCTATATATATATATATATATATAAATACACGCACGCACATGCTCACACACACACACACATACACATTTATATACATACACGCACGCACACGCTCACACACACACACACACACACACACACACACACACACATATATATATATATATATATATATATATATAAATACACGCACGCACACGCTCACACACACACACACACACCATCATCAATCCATCAATCAGCAAGGCAGTTATATAACATTATTATCATCATGGCACGTCATCTGATAGTCTCTCTTTCTCTAGACAACTTTTCCTCCCCTATGTGCTTTTATAGCCAGTGCATCTTCGGTGTCCTGTATACACATCCTCAGAGGTCTGCCTCTGCTTTGTTTTCGGGGGTCAGCACCTGCCATCACCATTCTCTCAGGCCAACATGGCAAAAATACCTGAGCTTTTTGGACAAGATGCTGTTTTTGAGCCAATTCTCCTCGATATTCAGATCACGTAGGATGTCAGTGTTTTTCTTCTTCTTGGTCCATGGGGTTCTAACAAACTGTTTGTAGTATATCAGTTCAACAGCTTTGATTTTTTACCCTTCAGTGATTGAGTAAGAATCCTTGACTCAAATTCATCAAGTGCCAATGGGAAAGACTCATGATTTCTAAACTGTTACACTAACTTTCTCGCAGGTGATGTATCCTATATTATATTCTTTATGCTGTCTTTTTCTGACTTCTATTGTTGAGTCAAAATTGTTGTTTACCACTGAGACTAAATATTCAAAATCTGTGACATCATTTCTTCATTACTGATTTTAATGCATCATTAGTGTGCTGTACTCATTGTGTCTGTTTTTTTATTTTTATTTATTCAAAATAATGCATTTATTTTTATTTCAATTTTTTTTCAAAATCAGAAAAAAAAACAATTATATTCTTTGCTGTACTTTATAACAGTCAGAATTAATTATCCCAAGCCCTGTACACTGCTGGGAAGGAGATCTGTGTCATGCACATCTAAGTTCTGGTTCCAATTGTGAATGGATAAAAAGTGTCACAGGCCTCATGACTAATTGCAATTGTCACATATTTTCAGCACATGGTTTGAAAAGGGGTAAAAAGAGAATGCAGCCCTGTCTTACTCCTCTCTGCACCCCAAACCAGTCTGATGTTTCACCAGTTACTCTGACTGCTGATTGTTCATGGTAAAGAGATTCCATCAGAATAATGTGTTGAGAATCCCATGCTTCTCAATATATGCTATAGGTTTTGGTGCTAAATGCAGTCAAAAGCCTTGCTGTAAACTATGAAGCATGTTTAGAGATTTATCTAGCACTTTCTACATTTCTCAAGGATGATTCTGACACTCAAAATATGGTTCCCTGTTCCTCTGCTGTGTCAGAAACCTACCTGTGTTTCTTGCCATTCATATTCCAGTATCATTTTTAATCCTCTTCAGAATGAAAAGAAAATCCATCCATCCATCCATCCATCCGTCCATCCATCCATCCATCCATCCATCCATCCATCCATCCATCCATCCATCCATCCATCCATCCATCCATCCATCCATCCATCCATCCATCCATCCATCCACCCATCCACCCACCCAACACTGAGCTGCAATTCTTATGTCAGGCCATTAGTGCTGACATATCTAACAGCTGCCATATTTTTACTTTGCATGTGCAAGCTTCAAGATTTTTTACTAGTTTTCAAAATGGGTGAAGGACATTTTGTGTGATTTCTACTGACATATGACCAGAGCAGTTATGGGGTGAAACATGTGCAGAGATGCTGGAACCTCAACTAACTATATATATATAGATATATAGATATATGTTTATATATTTATATTTATGTCCTTCATTATATAAATATGACATTATGATATTAAGCACAATAAATTAAATATCATAACACCACTGCAGTCTTATAAAGATGATATTGTTCAAAAATGGTTCACAAAAGTTTCACAGACAGGCATCCAAAGATATGGCAAGATACCTGCAATTATGATTCCCACAGGCTGGCCACTGTAGCCAATCTCCTTGGTTGCAAATAACTGAAAAGTTGACAATCAAAAAGTTAACACTTCCAATTTCATTTGGCTGAAAGATGAAAATAAAACTGTTTGCACTTTCTATTTTAGTTGAATAATAGATGGTAAGTGAACTCTTCACTTTTCTTGTTGCTTTTTTATGTAGCTGATAGATGACAAACAAATGATGGTTCACATTAATGCTTTGTATTTAATAAAAATAATACATGTCTGAATCCAGAGGATTGAACCTTGTTGTCCCATAAATGCAAATGTCTAGGATTGTCAGGATGTTTGATGGCATGATGTCTGTGGGCAGTGGTCACTTAACCCATGTAACATCTTGGGTGCTGGCTACAACTGTACAGTGTGTAGACATGGTGGGTATGATTATTATAAATGAATGAATTAAGAATTGACATCGATGCACTCTGGACACTCCCACACGTGCTCATCCCCTTTTTCAGTAACCAATGAAGAGTTGACATGCTAATAATACCAGATGCTACCTGATTAAAAGTCCGCCCCTCTTTACCCTTCAATTACAATAAAACCCCACCCATTCTTCTTACCTCTCACTACGGACCAATCTTTATATACTGTGATGTCAACCGGGTGTGAATTTTCATTGTTCAGCTTTTGCAACGATGACTCTGTTTCACCAGCTATCTATTCCCAGCATCCTCGGTCCAGGGTGACTATCACTCTGTGCAAGTCTTCTTCTTCTTCTTCTTCTTCTTTGTGTTCACCGGCTGTGAATTCCATAGTTCTGTAGTTCTTCCATTTAGACTTTTGGCTTTTACCTTGACCTGAGTTTTGTGTGTACATCCACTTTACTGGCTTATTTGTTTGCCGTTCCCGTGTGCAAGTTTGTCTTGTTGGGTAGGACTGCAACCCATTCTTTACTTATATTTATAAAATGTCATAACAGTGTGTATCACATTGCATTTTGTAGAAAAAGTGACCATAACCACATTTAAATGATTAAAGGGAGGAAAACAGTTAAATTTTTGCTCTGTTTATTTTTAGTGATTACTTTACTTCACGTGAAAATAAACCTTTCCCCAATTTAGACAATTAGCAGCTGGAGATAATTTTTGTATATTTTTGTGTGACATGACATCATAAAATATTTAGAAGACTTCATGCATGCCCATCGGCTTGGTGGTCTAGTAGTTGGATTCCCTTGATATTTATGAAACCTGACAAATAATCTAAGTTTCTTCCGCTGCTACTTTTCTTCTAGCTGATTAGGGTAGAGTTTCATAGAATTATAAGGATGCATTTTTAATTTAACAAATTAAAAAAAATAATAGTCCTTTTTTCTTCACAATTCTTACGAAGCAAAAGGGTTAAAGTATCTACCATTCAGAACTGTCATAGAATCATAAGATAAGTACTGAAATATGAAACAGGACATCCAAAAGAAATCCTGAGACAAATGCTAATGAGAGAGGTCAAAGGGGCTGAACTAGATACCATTCATGATATCAAAGACAGCACTGGATATAATGCAATGGAGGAATAGACTGTGAGCTCTATATGATGTATACAGAGCAAAAAAGGATGATGATGATGATGGTGATGATGAAGATAATGATAATGATGATGATAAGATATAGAGGATATAAAGTTAAGGTAACAATGATGACACAAAAGGTACTAGTAAAAAAAAAACATTACAAAATTTACAAATCAAAGGAATTAGGAAATATGCAACGGCAACAATTTCCTGTGGAAGGCAACTCTGATATAACTGATTCAACAGATTGGAGGACCATCTTCACAGCAAATGAAGTTATCCATTAGAGATCCCAAATCTTTTTTAGAAAACAGCAGAAGTCCTTTGCTTTTGATAATGAACTTTGAAGCACCAGCAAGAATCTTTGTTCATCTGTATCAAAATCATATGTGCAATAAACATTATAATCTGGGTAGGTTTTTCCTTTTTGAAATTTAACGATGACTTGGTCCATTTAACACACTCTTTAGTATTTACAAGTGTGAAATGATTTCTAAAGACTGCAACTCTTATTTGATTATTTTATAAGGCAATATGACTATTCCACTGTCCAGTAAATGTAAAAACATAACTTACTTTCTTTACCTCTGACTGTTAACTCAGATCATCTTAAATTTGTTTGTTTATAGATTAGCCATTTTGTATAGGAGAATATTTGTATTATAAATGACTGAGTAGCTGCAATTGTGAGGAAGCTAGATTCTTGCTTGCACAAATCTGCATAAACTTTACACATTACAAATATGATGGCTTGAGGACCATAAACCTGCAAAATATACCCATTGTTTAAAAAAAAAGATAAAAAAGAAAAGAAATGTGTTCTCATGAACTAATAAATGCTGATGAAGATCACAGATTGTGGAAAGTCATAACTGCCCATGCTTGTCAACAAGGTACTTGAAAATGATGATTTACACACACACCAAAATGTGTACTGAATATAACTAACAAATATGTAATGGAATCATATTCTTAAATATTTAAGCCTTATACAACTCATTAAAAAAATTTGGTAAACACATTCATATATAAAAGATTTAACTAAGACACTCTGGTAACATATCGTTTGACAACTGACCTCTTGAGCTTTGAACTGGAAGAAACCAGAGCTGACCATGTGGTTGTTTGTTCCGCCTTCAGGAATGTCCTTGGCTGACAAAAAGGTCACAACTCCTGGTAATTTCTGGTGACATTAATTTATAAAAAAATTTTATGAGGAAAGAATTCAAATTTTACTGAGTTCATTTTTAGTGTACATAGTGTATTTAGAAACAGTTTACAGAATGCAATGAAGAACTTTGGAAAACCAAAGAAGTTAAACACCTTGACTGAACTATGTATGGAAGACACTTATAATAACGTAACATATAAAGGCAGAAAGTTAGACCCTTTTCAAATAACATCTGGTTTAAAGCAAGGTGATGCTCTGTCCCCACTTCTTTTCAACTTGGCTCTGGAGAAAATTATAAGGAAATTGAAACAAGAGTGTACTATAGGAGAAACTACAAGAATAGCTGGTTATTCAGATGACACTGATATCTCTGGATAAAATTTACTAGAGACTGTAGAAACATTGACTCTCTTAAAAGAAGCAGTTTCCAAATTGGTACTAGTTATCAATCAAGATAAGATAGAATACATGATAATAACAAGAAAGGGAAAGGAGACAAACTCTTTCCATATACAAGTCGATATTATGAATATTAAATGAACAGAAACATGTCAGTACTTGGGTGCAAACTTCAACTGCTCCAACAGGCTGAGAGAAGAAATACAATATAGAATCTGGAAAGTATACTATGCCCAACATCTGCTAAAGTCAAAGTCACTATTTCGCAACACCAAGATCAGTATATATAAAATGTTAATAAGACAAGTTGTTTTATATGGCTTTGAAACTTTAAGCACAACTAAAAGAGATAAAGACTTATTACCAATTTTTGGAAACAGAATCTTACAATTAATCTTTGGACCCATCAAACATGATAACAGCGGGGAATGGAGAGTGAGAAGCAACAATCCAATTCCTGATGTTTAAATTAACACTGATAACTGGTATCATGAGAGCTAATAGATGGCTCAGCAGATTGAGAGAATGTCAGATAACAGAAAGGAACAAACTATACACAATGGAGATGACTACGAGGCAGACCAAGAAGAACATGGGGAGATAATATCCAGACAGTCCAACAAATATTTGGTACCACATGGAAAGAGAAGGCCAACCAGGCAACTGAATGAAGATGGGTGATATCTGAAGCAGGGAACCTCTAAATGCAGAAGAAGAAGAAAAAAGAAGAGTTCATTATTAAAGTATGTGCTGAATGGAATTGTAGAAAATAAATATGTAAAGGTAGAAAACTGTAACAAATGTTGCTATTTTGGTTTCTAATATTGCAAAGCAAAATGATAATAATCCAAATCATTAATTAGGTACTAAAAAGAATCCCAGCATTTTGCCAAAAATTCTATATCTTCTCATAGTCCATGCCATGTGACATTGTTGGTCAGATCTATCCATAACCTTCTGTCTCTTATACTTTCAATCAGTTCTGTGATATCAAACTGTCTAGCATCTTCTCTCTTAGTCTCCCTCTGCCTCTCTTCCCATCCACCTTTCCCACCATCACTGATGTAATCTAGTTTTCTTTCTCTCATAAAATGACTAAAGAATGTAGACTGAGACTGTCTCTTTCTGATGTGGGCAATCAGTTCTTTTCATGAGTTAATTTCTTTCAAGACATCTCCATTACTTTTTTTTTTTTTTTTTTTTTTATCTATCCAGGGTGTTCTCATCATTCATCTGTAAAACCAAATTTGTATAGATTCCATATAATTGTTCACTTACCAACCAAATGTCTAAATTCTACATTACCATAAATGTAAACTATGAATAAATACAATTCCCATCAGGAAGTACAGACACAAACACAACACAAAACCCACCAGGGCCTCAGAAGCATCGATGCTCTCTAGAGTGGCAGCAGCAACTCCTGCTGGAACAAATGCTGCAAAAAGTTCATGCTGAAAGGTTGGGATATCATTCACAAACTGTGCTTCACCAGATGCCTGTTTGAAATTCACACAAAATTTACGTAAAATATGTATGCCAGCATATAACATTCAGAAGGGAATAAGGACGGTTTTTATTTTAAACTATCATTGTTCATATTTCTCTTACCTACTTGCTACTGATAACATTGCCATTGAATATCTTTGCTTGCCGCTGAAGATGAGGATGGAGTGTGTGTGAGAATGTCCCAACTGTTGTGATGCTGGTTCCTAATTCAACTCATCTTACCAACTGAGAACAACAGGACAGTCAAATATAGCCACATGCTGCCCTAATTTTCAAGATCTTAGGAGGTTGAACAGAGTATCTGGAATTTGTTCCTGTTGGTTTAGTATCCATCTTGCTGTGGTGTCAAACCTTTCAGACCAGCAGTTCAGAGGAGAAAAACCAGCCAACCATTATATATAGCAGTGGTTTCTATATTTCTTTGGCCCCAGGTCACACTTAAAGAATGAACATCTGCTCACATTATACAAGATTACTTTACTGGTGAAAATACCCCATCTCAAAAGAAGCCCATTTTGACAATAAGAATGAGAGACTTCTACACCCAGACATCCTGTTGCATGCTGTCATGTGTCATGTGGCTGTGAATGACTGGTACTTGTTCTCATAGATTATGTAAGAAAAAACGTAAAGGACCCTTTTAGACCCAATGCACATTAGGCATCTGATGTTAGACACTTATTTTTATAGACTGATTGGCATTCAGTGAGTAAGGTATCTACATTATGCCAGGCACCTTTACTTCCCAGGACATTACCCTGAACCTTAGCGCACTGCCACTAAAATATCTTAGTGGGGGGTGGGAGGTCTCATGGTGCCTGAACCCTCAGGTTCCAGCACGGATGCTGGTACCCATCTAAGACTTGGTAAACCTGAGTATAAAACCGTCTCGACGTGGATCCCAACCTTCAGGTTGGCAGGTAAGGATCAAGCCCCTACACTACCATGTCTCCTCAGAGAAAATATAAATAGTAGAAGAAACATCAAGCACTTGACTTCGTCTTCTTCTTCTTCATGTTCACCGGCTGTAATCTCCAGCAGAAAGTTCTGGTTATTTATTCACCTCTGGACTTTAGTTCCAGAATCTAAGTATTGTGTGCACATCCATTTTACAGGTCTGCTTATTTGTGTGCAAACTCTTGGTTCCTTGCCTCTCAGGCAGATGCACTCCTACTTCAAAGGATGCTCTCAATCAACTCATACTGCATGCTTGTTGGAGAGGCAGAGGGTCTATTACTGTTTTCCCCCATAATGGGGCCCAGGAAACCAGACAATGACTCGACTTGAAACAATAACTATACTGAAAATAACTGTTTTTGTCAAACTGAAAGAAACAAAGCAAATATAAAATGATTCTTTATTTCTTTCATTTTATTGAGAACAAGCTTTCACCCATTAACAGCCACATGCTACCATGAAATAGGCTGTCCAGTTGTTGAAGTCTCTTAATCTTAGTCAAAAATTACAATACCATCCATGGAAACAACACTTCTACACAGCAGGAATTATTTATTCTGTATTCAATATTCAGATTCAGAATTTTTTCGACACCTAGTATTCATCTGTATATTCATCCTACTCTACCACTCACAATACATAATAAAATGAATCAAACTATCAGACCATTGTCTTCAATATTTCAGAACCAGTGTCACCAATATTTAAGGATCAATGTCCCCAATATTTAATAACAAACAAGTATGTGACAAGTGAGACAAAAAGAACACAGTTTAGTGCAGCATTTGTAATGTGTTACTAGTTTCAAAATCGTTAATTTTTATCATGGTATGGGGTGACGCAGGTTCACCCAGCCTAAAATGGGTACCAGAATGGATGTCTTGGGGAAGTAAAGGTGGCTGGCGAAATGCTGACCACATAACCCACCTAGTGCCTATTGATCTGTAAAAATATGGGGTGCTCTTCCCATATGCCTGATGCACCCAAGGCCTGAAAAGGAAACTTTACTTTTATTTTACGTGTTAGTTCCAAAATTGGACATTAACAACAAAAGGAAACAGAAACACTCAAACATTAGAAGTGAAATGCCTATGATGAATCCTTAACTCTTTGAGTCCCAAGGAACGCACCATACGTTCATAGGTTCCTACCTAGAAGCCCAATAAACGCAATATGCGCCAATTTTAGGTCTCTCTTGACTACTCCTTGGGCCTTTGATGCTAAACCCCCTGGGACTCAAAAAGTTAATGTAAAAAGAAGGGGCAGGATCAGAAATAACAATATCAGGAAACAAGAAGGGGTGGACCCATTGCTAAATTACATCAAGAGACAACAGATCAAATGGTTATGGTACATGTCAAGACAACCACAAGATAGTGCACCACACAGAGTACTATCACTTCAACACAATGTAATCAGTTACCTGCAATGGTGCAGTTTTCTTTGGCATGGCTTTCTTCAATGGCCATTCACTTTTCATCTCTTGATATGTTTGCAGACCTGAAGAAATTGGACGATGGAGATATTCTGTTCCAGATCTCAACTTTGGATTTTCTGGATTATAAATTCCAAGAAGCACCTGACAGCAAAACAGAAGTCATGATTTTAATTAGCTTTACTGCAATGTAAGTCAATATTTAAAATATACATTAATCTTCGGCAATAGAAGGTAAGAATTAGGTTTTCACATCAATACAGCAAAATGAAGTGGGCACTTTAAAAACCACTTTTAACTGAATAAATTTAAAATATAATCACCTATTCTATGTATGCAAGAGGGAGTGGCAGTGGTTTAGTGGCTGAACACTTACCAGCTGGCCCGAAGATCTCAGGTTCAAATATCCACTTTTTTTTTTTTCAATACTGGCATTGGTTTCCATGTGGACCCGGCCTAAGATGGGTACCGGGTAATGAATGGAAATTAATCTACTGAGCTGTGACTAAGAAACTGTTTTGTCATTTACATGCTTTATTTAACTTCTTTTTTAAAAATCTTCCAGACAATGTATTTCAAATAATGTCCTTCTTTGTACACTTTCATACACCAACATGAACATATTTACAGAAAACAGTAGTCAGTTTGAGTTTGTTGACAAAAGAATCAAACTGGCAATGAGTAGGAAGCTGAAGGGTTACCTTGTACAGCAGGGACACTGACAGTTCTTGTCTATACTGTGGAGATGACAGGAGTTCACCAGACTCTGGCTTTAGCTCTCCCTTCAGAATAGTTAGTGCTTCTGTTGAAAAAGATAGGACATGGTTTGTGAGACATGGCTTCATAAAATAAATCAAGCTGGCACATTTGAAAACTGCTAAACTGTGTGTTGACACACAACAAAGAGTGGAGTCAGAGAATCAGTCTTAGACCCAGAGTCAGAAATATGAGCTGTGAGAAAGTCACAGAGAAAGAAAGAAACTATATATATATATAGTTTCTTTCTTTCTCTGTGACTTTCTCACAGCTCATATTTCTGACTCTGGGTCTAAGACTGATTATATAGTTTCTTTCTTTCTCTGTGACTTTCTCACAGCTCATATTTCTGACTCTGGGTCTAAGACTGATTCTCTGACTCCACTCTTTGTTGTGTGTATATATATATATATATATATATATATATATATATATATATATATATATATATATATATATATATATATATATATATATATATATATATATATATATATATATATAAATCAGAGAGAGAGAGAGAGGCACATCCTTCATGAGGTGACCCTGTTAACCAGGACCTCACGGCCCTGGGATAAAACACAACGATTAAGAGGAGACAACCTCGATTAAATTGGGTCTACGTGCTGAGAAGAAGAATATATAATTATTAAGTCATCCAGAGAGAGCAGGGGAAAGGAAGAGGGAAAGGCTAAAACTGTGTAGCTTTTTAATATATTATGAACTCAAGCAAAAAATCCTGGTTGTTCGTCCAAGTCTGGAATTTGATATAATTCCAGAACTTAGATATTGCCTGCATATTCATTTCACAGGTATAGAAAATCTGTGTGCAGATTGTTGGCTCCTCGCCTCTCAGGCACTTGTGTTCTAGCCTCAAAGGAAAAAGTCATCTTATCTACACTGGTCAGACCCCCAGTAGCAAACCTGTTTCTAGGATGACAACAGAGAGGTCTAGAAAGGTCTTTACCAGTTTGAGACATGCCTTTGCTTGCAGCACTACCATATATGGTGATGCATCTCTGCAGCCCATTAACCAGTTACTTTCTACTTGCTGCAAACAATGAAAATGTTAAAGATTTAGTCACAACTATATGTACAGACTATGCAACCACCAGATATTGTGATTTGCTGAACTGAACATGCATTATGTTCATCATCATCATCATCATGTAGCAGGTCCTTTGCAGAACGTCGTTCTCATCACAGTCTGCCTGAAAGAAACTTGATCTCTCGCCAGTTCTCCGGCCTCATGTACTTTCATATTCAAAGAGTCACTTATATATTGCGCCCATCTTCATGTCGGTCGACCCCTGCCCCTTCTTCCTGGTACCATGCCTTCTGCTATAGTTTTTTCCAATCCGCTGTGGCGCTTGATATGACCAAAATATTTCAGCTTCCGAGAAAGGATGCTGTTTATTACCCGATCTTCCTTAATGTTCAGATTTTTTAAGATGTCAATATTTCTCCTCTTCTTTGTCCAAGATATTCTGAGAATCTTTCTATAGAATTTCAGCTCAAAAGCCCCTATTCTCTTTCTTAAGGACTGAGAGATAGTCCACAACTCACATCCGTATGTAGCCACAGGGAAGATGCATGAAGATGCATGCTCTCAAAATTCTAATTTGTATCTCCTTGCTGGTGCCTAACCATAGACTTTTAAGGCTGTTCAATCTTTGCAATCCTTCTTTTAATTTCTGTTGAACAGTCTGCTGTTTATTATAGAGTTTGTGACATTTTCAATTTCTTCATCATTTATTGTTATTTTTGGGTTACAGCCAGTTTTATCTGTGGACATTATTTTCGTTTTCTTTAAATTCAAGAACAGATTTTGAACTTCACTGTGCTTTTGGACAGACAATATTAAATTTTCTATTCCTTTTACGCTGTTCGAAAAGAGGACTGTGTCATCTGCGTAGCGGAGTTCGGGAATAGGGTTGTCACCAATTTTGAGCGGATCATAACTGTCACAAGTGTGGTCACTTTTTACATTTCTCATTATATTTTCTGAGTATATATTGAATAAGTATGGTGAGAGAATACACACGTGCCTTACCCCCTTTTGCAACTCGAACCAATCAGAAGTTTCACCAGCTGCTCTGATGGCTGTTTGTTTTTCATGATAAAGACTTTCAATTAAATGCACTAAATGCGCTGGAAACCCCATACTTTTCATAATAGTCAATAGTCTGTGGTGCTGGATACAATCAAATGCCTTGCTATAATCAATAAAACAAGCATGAAGATCTTCGTTGTATTCTCTGCATTTTTCAAAAATTATTCTCATATTAAAGATGTGATCCCTAGTTCCTCTACCCTGGCTGAAACCTGCTTGTGCTTCATCTAGCTCATATTGTAGTTTCCTTTCAATCCTTTTCATGATAATTCGTAAAAGGATTTTGCTATCATGACTTATTAATGCGATGGTAGGGAAGTTGGAGCATAGTTTCAGATTTCCTTTCTTTGGGAGAGGGATATAGACTGTTCTTTTCCACGCTTTAGACCAAATGTCACTGTTCCAGATCTTCGAGCGCAGTGCATGGTAGATTCGGACGCTGGCTTGAAGTAGTTCTGCTGGTATTTCGTCGCAATGTGGTGACTTTCCTTTCTTCAGGCTGTGTATTGCTGATCGTACCTCATCCAGTAAAGGCTCTGGTTCTTTATCATAACTTTCACAAGTCGTTTTTGAATTACTTGTCACATCCTCATACATTTCTCTACAGTATTCTTTCCATCTTTCTAATGTCTTTGGTTTCCGTTAATGTGTTACCATTTTTATCACTTAATACATAAAAAGAAGGCCTGAATTCGCCTTTCAATGTTTTAATTTGTTTAAACATATCTCTGTCTCTTCCTTGCATCTGGAGTTGTTCAATTCTATTACAGGTATTTATAAAAAACTGCCTTTTTATCTCCTCTGATAGCTCTTCTGATTTCTTTCGTGTAGTTCCTATTTGCTTGGCTATTTCTTTCTGTCCCTACTTGCTTTAAATTTCTTGTTTCTTCTATCAGCTTGAAAGCTTTTTCTGTAATGTAAATCCGTTTCTTGTTCTGAGCTGTTGTGATGATGATGTTTCTATGCATTATGTTGCTTTTATAAAATGATTAACATGTATACATTACCTTCTACAGTTGACTTTGACAAAGTCTTGTTGGTTAAAAATTCTTCTGTCTTAACAGCATGAACCTGAAATGGTTTATAAATAAAACATTAAAAAAACATCTTTATGAATACATGGTTTGCTAATTTTCATTCAATTTGTTCGGTGAGAATAAGTGCCTACTGTTCATAATTAAAATTTCTAGGTTTTTTAGCAATACTGTGAGAGACACTGTGGACACTTTATGGTGAGTATCAGCAATTTTTTTCTAGAAAAACCCTTATGGGGTATTTGGGGTTACCTCTCTTTTTGCATAGACCAATCAGTAACTATGGGGGATGAGTGTTTAAAACCATGCAGGCTGCTTTTGTTTAAAAGAATATTTCCTGTTACTCATATAAGGATGAGTCCTCTTAGAAGCTCATTCCTATGTGGACATCTTCCTGCCCCAGTGAAGATTCTAATAAGTGACAGAAGAGCTGGCAGTCAAGTGTGCTAGACACTGCACTACTACATCTCCGTTTATCTTATTTTATTGACAATAAGGGCAGTGAACATTGCAGTGATATAGCCCAGATAATTCTGGATGCTGATCAGCTCATTAACTCAGCGAACTCTGGCACAGCACGTAATGACAGAACTGATAGACTGGCAAAGAAAGGAGCAACACAAAAACAACCACCCACAGCAGCAACTTACTGACAGCAACATCACTTATAAGAGCTATAAACAAAGAGACTTGGCTGAACAGATGGGCCATGGGAGATACTGGAAGAGGTTTACAGACATATGGCTGGCTCAGATCATAATGACAGCATCAACCTTCTAACAAGGAGGGACCAGGCCACCATCTTCAGACTCAGAACACAACATGTTCCACTCAATGGACATATAAACAGAAAACAGTCACAACACTGTTGACCATACTCTCTTTGAGTGCCCAAAACTCACTGAGACTAGAAGAATGCTACTCCCTCTGAGACCAGATAAGTGAAACCCTTGTATGGAGGAAATAAATTGCTGGTTTAAACATGTAAATTCCACTACATGGCATTGGGCCAAAGGGTAAAAGCTCATGCGCGGCTGGATCGATAACAACAACATTTACAATAAAATTATTTTCCTTCCCATAATAGGGTCACAATCACATTAGCTAAAAGCACATGGATTTACCAGAAAGAACTATGGAAGTAGAAATTGTGAAAATGATTTATGACAATTCCTGACTGGACAATGTGATTATCTATATAAATGGCTCTGTGTTATGCAACAGAAGAAGCACATGTGGTTCATTGAAAAAGCAAAAATAACCACAGAGAGGGGTGCTTAGTGCAACACCTAGCATATGACAGACAACTAGTTTAAAATTTGAGGTGAAGGCAGACACCACAGCTTTTCACTGGCTTGAAAATCCACTGCAAATACATATTGTGATTGCAACACTCAAAATGCATGCTGAGAAATATGGAGATAAGAATGGTTTTTGCAGAGAAGAAAACATCACTTCAGGTTTCTCAGTTGTTAGCATCCTTTATATCTTTTCTCATGCACAGAAGTTGGGAAATGAGCATGCAAACAGGTTGTTAAGTTCTGCACCACTTGATTGTGAACTGATGCATGACAAGCTAGATGTTATCAAGACACTTTGAGAGCAGATGGACAATGTTAGCATCAAATACATCATTATGGTCTGGAAAGATCAATATAGCACGGAGTGACCAGGAGATTTAACTGACACTCAAATTAACTGCTGAAAATTGGGACTGGGCACTTGTGAGAAAGTCCTCAACTTGATAACACATTTTATAATAAAGGCATATCATTAACCTCATCAAATCATTGCAAAAATATTTTCTAAGATAACATATGTCAATTGTCTAATGGTTAGCATCCCAAGACAATGCCTTTTAATTATAAAATCAACAGGTTACATGCCCTTTGTATAATATAACTCTCACTGTAGCCTGGCCTTAAACATATTCAATGTGACTTCCTCAGTTCTCCCTTTTCTTGTTTTCCTTCAGTTAACTCAGCAGTTTTAGTGGGAGAGGCAAAGATAATCTGTGACTTTCTAATGTGTTGTGTAAGTTGGTCTTCATGTCTGCAAGGCTGTTCTTGATGCTGTTGTTCCATATTTTTGCCTGGTCTTTCCCTTGGTCAGTGTTTATACATTTTCAGCATGTGTCTGTGGTAGATGGTACAGGGCAGTCCCAACAGATAGCTAACAAAATTGTAATAACTGTTCTTTAATCAATTGTATGACTGGTTTCAATCCTAGTCTTCTTCAGTTTTTTTTTCAATTTCTAGTTTATCTCTTCCAGCTTCTCTGGGGACTCTTCTATAGTATATCATCTCTGTTACAAGTTTTTGCTCATCTGTTGTCTATCACTTGTATCACAGAGTGGCCAAAAAATTATTCTCATTAGATTTGCCTAAAAAGTCTCTGAATCCTGAGTAAGAAGTATATTCTTCATTTGCCAACTGTAGGACTCTTCAGTGAGGCGTCATGCCATAAACTATGATCAGACTTACACCCTCACTTCTTTCACATAATTAACTTTCACATAAAACCAAACAAAATAATTACAGTGTATGACTATGTCTGCTCTTATACTTACTGTGGAGGCACTGATCCCACCAAAAACAAGAGCAGGCCTGTCTTTGATTGCACGGCCTTCAGCTTTGATTCTAAAAGCTGCATTCACATAGGCATGGGCATTCTGTATTTAAACAAAGCAATAAAAAAAAGAAGGTGTATTTTAGCATGTCAGATAAGCAGATGGCCAGCATAGCTTTAAATAAACTATATCTGCTCATAGTATTTTTACATCCTAACATTTTCATATCTGCTGTAGGATTTCTTTGTATCGGGAAACTTTGTAAATCTAGATATACAGTATTTTCACCTTTCTTGTGTTTCTCAATGACTCTGTGAGGTTTGCAGGTGGTAGTATAGCCACCAGCAGGGCTTCCCAGTCAGATAGATCAAAGGGTAGAGAACAGACAAAGAGAGTTGACTTGGCCCTCTAGGTTAGGAGCTGAAGCATGAGGCCAGCCCCCTTCCCCCTTTTGGTAAAACCTCACTTCATCATGAAACTGATTTCTAAGGCTCAAATTCAGATTAAAAGAGGCAGGTGATATCTGCAGCTCTGACCCTTGAGTGTTCAGTATGCTGAAAAAGAAGAAGATCATCATCATCATCTTACCAACTGGCCTTGCTGTATATGCATCTCTCAATCTTTTTGATCACATGCAGAATATGTCACTTTAAATTTTCATAATATTCCATGTCACGACTCTTCTCTTCTCATATAAAAAAAAAATAAGATTTTGCAGTTATTAGGGAAAATAATAGAGGCTTCTGAGCTAAAATGCAATAGAAAAGATTCTCATTTTACCATGAGCAAAGAAGAAATGAAAACCTGACATCCTAGAAGATGGTGCCAGAAAAGAGGGGTAGGTGTCAACAAACATGAAGATGGGCACAGGATAGAAGTGATACCCTGGGTGGGAGAGTGCAGGGCACAATGGGGCCTTATTCAAAATGATATAGAAGACATTTTTTATTGGCCAATCATATATGGATGCAAAGTCTTTCTTTTGTAACCCATAAATCACTAGAACATCCACCACTAATATTGAAGTGTTACTTGGATAACATCAAAACTCACTCTAGACACTAGAATATAGGCATAGTATGAATATACATTGAATATGATGTTATAGTTGTGGCCTATCCACCTTTAGGCCCAGACTCCTCAGTACTGGGATATTTCTTTATAATCATCAAAAGACAGTCTCCCACTCAAGCTTTACAAATTTTCTCTAGAATAAAAGACCTTGTCAAAGTGTTTTGTTTCTAGTTTAACAAAATCTCTTAAAGTCTGTGATGTTTTTTCTGTTTTGAGATGGATTTTGTGTATACAATATATTAATAAATTTTAACAAGATAGAAAAAAATTAACGGTAAAATTAACAGTAACAAAACTGACATTCATCTGCAAATGTAAATATTCTGCCAACTCCAGGTGTTTCCAGACGGGCAATCTTGCTCGTAAAAACATTGAATAGTACAGGTGAAATTGCAGATCCCTGTGGTAGCCCTGGAGCTATAATACATGGTTCAGAGGTCCATGAACCAAGGCAGAGAGCTACCCGGCGAATATACAAAACAGCTGCTATCCAATTCACCAACCAAGGACAGACTCCCTACTCCGTTAGCGCTTTAACAAGATAGTGTATTGGACTCTGTTGTAAGCGTCTTCTAAATAGAGTGCTGCTGCCACCGTTTCCTGTCTGTTCTGGAAACCTTTGAAGAAATCAAAGGCAAAAGTGGCTGCATTTGACCATGTGTCCTTCCCCGGCCGGTAACTCCCCAATCCTCATGGAAGGAGATTACTATGTTCCAAAAATTCTAGTAGCTTACCCGCCACTATCTTCTCCAGCACTTTACCAAAAGTGTTTTGTAGGGTTATGATCCTAAAGCCCCCGAGTGTTGAATTATTCTTGCCAGGCTTAGAAAATGAAATCAGGTAGCTGTACGTCCACTCTTCTGGAACTGAAGCTGTCCTAATGCTCTGGTTGAAGCAAGCAGTCATCTCCAACAATTCAATGGAAATAGGCTCAAAAATTGACCTTTATTCTATTATTTTTCAAATACTTTGTTTTTAATATTTTTTTTATGTATTCTTTTCTCCAATAATCCGTCACTGACAACATAATTTATAAATATTTAACCATATTTACTGGTGAAGAGAATAAAAATATGTCATAATTAATAATTCAGAATACCATAAATTAGTTTATATTTACTTTACCAAATAGTTTTTGTCCACTTACTTGCCACCTTGGTGTGATCTTGAAAGACTTGAAGACTTCATTGTCTGCCAGTTTGGGCACTTCAACTGCTAAGATCACTTTGTCAGCCATGTCCAGATTCAGGAAATCCAGGAGTGAGTAGCTGGTAGACCTTGAGGTGGAAACATCTGAAATGTAAATCCACAAAAATAAATTAATTAAAAAATAATTCCCAAAAGAGAAATCTTTGTCCCTTTTATATAGGAAGCTAACATCCATAAAAGACATAGGTAAATTAGAGAAATGATGGTGAATATGCAAGTTTCATGGCAGGTGTGCCCACATTAAATCATAAACTGCCTAGTTTAGGAGACACTCCTACTAGCCAACACTTCCACCAGGTGAGTGATGTAGGAGTGGTCTTTAGATGCAGAGATTAGCTGAGAATAAGTTGAATAAGTGCACATTAGTTGATAAGACAGCTGTCTCTATTTAAAAAATATAATATGAAAACTTTGTGGTATCGCCATCATCAGATGAGAAGTACCCTCTATATAACATTTACTTTCTGTTGTCTTGCAACTATATTTTTTTAGCCATTGTTTATTTTATTTCATTTATTCCACATCACATTTTTTTAAACGTTGCTCATGTCACCCCTTAGAGATCTGTATACTCTCCTCTCCTCGTTGTTACATTTGTGTAGTTCACTTCATGTTTGACAAAGGCTGCCCGGCCGAAACGTTACTTTATTTGGGTTGTTTTGTGCACGTTTGTCTGCTTACGTATTTGGTTAAGCTTTTTAGTCAAATATTTCTGGAATGTCTTGCAGCATCTGTTTATTTATTTATATGTAGGCTATGGGAGTCTTTGTCTAGCCTGTCTTGTCCGAAAGGGAGCAACATGTTCTACAGGTGATACCTTACCGTCATACAGTTTCGTTTTTTGTTTTGGTCATGTTATAAGAAGAGGGAAAATAGAACATGTGACTGCTGGAAAGATTTGTGGACAGAGAGACAGAGGAAGACAGCTCAAGATTCTTGATGGCCTTCTGTCGGCATGGAGGGGTGTCAACACATGAACTGATAGACGCAGTTGCAGATCACAGATTGTGGAGAGGCATGATCGCCCACGCCAGTCTGCAAGGCACTTTATGATGATGACCGGAGTCGAACCATACACAAAACAGAAAGCTAGGGGAAACCACTGCTGCATGTGTTTCTTGTGCTGTCATAAAGGTGAAATAACTTTTTCCCCCCACTGTTTCTACAACTTAGGTTTGCTGTGGTGCACCTGCTGCTACCTTTTCGAATGTTATGTAGTAAGGTTTCAATCTCTTTCAGGGTGCAACTCTTGTTCTACTGAGTAAAGGTCATGAGAATGTCTTTATCTAAACGCCTCTCTGCAGCAAATAAAGTATGGTACAACTTGGGCTGATTGTGAAATGTTTTCACTAACCTCTAAGCCACAGAGGGGGACACTAAGCTACAGAGGGGGACACCATGGTGTAGCGGCTAGATGCTCACCTTGGACTGGAAGGTTGCGGGTTTGGGTCCTGGCAGTATCAGAATTTTTTTTTCAAAACTGACCTTGGCTCCCAGGTTAATCCAGCCCTGAGTGGGTACCAGGTGCTGACCACATCATCAACTAAGTGCAGATTGGTCTGCACATCTATTATTCTATAAAATACAGGTCTAGCCCTATTTGCCCTGAAAGCCTGGGAAGGGTCCTTTAAGCCATAGAGCCACTCTATCCTTTAAATTTGTATAAATCTAGGTGAAGAAAATGTAATTAAGATTTATGAAAAAAGGAAAATTACATTTATAAAAAAAGCAACCTTACTTTTTCACACAACTGACCCTAAATATGTGATATTTTGGTGTAACATATGACAGAAGATTGTGTGCAAACATGATGGTCTATAAGATTAAGAATTGAGTTATAAAGTATCTACAAGATATTTTTTAGAAATTTAAAATATCGAAAAGTCTAACCATAAATGTCCACTTGAGCTCCAAGACTCTCCAGTATTGTGAAAATATCAGATGGGAAATCTGGATGTGCATGTTTGATCATCAGATTACCAGCAATGCATCCAGCCTGGAACAAATACAGGGCAGTTATGATAGTCAATGCCTGTGGCTTAGGGGGAACAAACCTGGTTATAATTCTGAAATATCTGGTTTGATTTAACTGGCACCAGACAGCTTTGTATTGATTTCAACAATGATATTAGCATGACCTGTTTAGTAAGCAATGGAAAACTACTGAATATAAAATTACTGAACAAATCACCAAACAGCCAACACATGCTGAGATTATTGGTTACGACTTCCTTTTCTTTTTAATTATAGAAATAAAAGGTAAAGGTAGTGCTAGATTAGTACACTGTCCTTGTTGTTGAATGTTGAATTAAGAATTGACATCACAGCACACTGGACACTCCCACAAGCACTCCGTCCCCAACCTTCGGCAATAAGGGAAGAGTTCTTATTCCAGTGGCACCAGTAACTGTCTGATTGTACATCCGTCTCGCCTTTCCCTTGAGTGCTAAGATCCCCTGGTTACTCCTCGCAACACCCTTCTCCTCAGACCATAATGATCTATCTGTGCCTCCTCACTGTTTAATCACTCCCAAAGGACCCTCACAACATCTGGCTTGTCATAGATAAATTCATCACCAAGTGGTACAGAACCAGCCAGTCTATCTGCCTGTTTATTTCCCAACACACCAGCATAACCTGGAGAAAATATCGAAAGGAGGCTAACTACCCGGGACCTCTGAAGTGATGCTTGTCACTCTCCACAGAGAATGCCTGTCTCCACCTTTCTCAAAATAATATGTGAGTCAGTTACAATGACGACACGTGTGCAGCTGATTCTCAAGCCAACGTAAGGCAGCAGTGACTGCCTCCACCTCCATTCTCAAACTAGACATTGTGATCATTGTGATATTATACCACTGTGGTGTGAAGAGTTAGGCATTCATACATCCTAGGTAATGACAAAAAAGGATGTTATAGCCTGTTCTTTCTTCAATACTTTTCCTTCCTAGACAATTCCAAGAAAATTATGACAACTGTTTGATAACCAAATTATTTATCAGGCATTACTGACTACAAAGCTTTAATGGTAACGTGAAAAATAATCCTGCTATGAACCTGTGAACCTGCCTTAACAGACAAGAGCACTCACTGCTGCTTCATACATAATTCAGGCAGGAGACAATTTGTAACATATAAGAATCTCAGTTATGAAGAAAAGTTGGGAGTCATCAAGTTTTACATACTGCATACTTTCGACTACAAAAATAATAGTAATAAATGGATTTAAAAAAATACCAGTTGCAAAATAGAGGCTTTAAAAATTTGTTTGTAAGGTAGATGAATGGGAGGAATAAAAGAGAAGAGAAGAAATAAATAAATTGAGTAGTTCAAAAACCGGGTTCGATCCCAGCTGCGGGCTATGCACCTTGCGTTGGTTTCAATAGTGGTATCAAGAAAGTCGACCATCCAGAAAGCAATGGCAAACTACTGGACGTCAATTTGCCAGGGGCTGTTGGGGTTGGTTCTGCAACGTCCTGTAAAGGATACAGAACTAACCAGTTCATAAACTGGGATTAAAGAAAGGATTACTGAATATGACAGGTTAGACTAATTACACTTCAGGTATATTTTTATTATGCTGAAGGGAACAGTTTGATGGAAGCACACGTGCATGAAAAAACATGATGATACTAAATATTTGTATCAATTTGATAGCTAAACATATTAGCATATCCTATACAGGGTGTTCCAAACTAACAACAGCATTTGTTAGCTGTCTGGGGTTTTCACCAGTCAGTTTTGCATGTGGTAGTTTGTCACTGCTGTCTGAACTGTGGTTGATAATGCAACTGTCAAAATCAATACAAGGCTGTTTGCAAATTACCTGCAGCTGAGATAAACAAGGTATTTGGAATTATGAAACTGCTTTTATAACCCCCAAACCCCAAAAATTCAGTAGTAAGTGTATTAACACAAACCTTCTCACATGGTTCTGAACAATTATAATTTATAATTAAGTTACAATTTACTTTTTAACTCTTTGAGTCCCAAGGAACGCATCATACGTTCATAGGTTACTGCCTAGAAGCCCAATGAACGCATGATGCGCCGATTTTAGTCTCTTTTGACTATCCCTTGGGCCTGTGATGCTAAACCCTCTGGGACTTAAAGAAGCAAAAAATACACAAGTCATAAAAGTCTGTGCAAAGCTCCAAGATTACCCATTCCTAAAACTGGTATCAGGTGTTTGTAAATACACTTTATGACTCATTAGGAAAAACTCTTTTTATTTCTTACTCTTTACAGACGTTTAGCCAGTATACTAGCGATTAAGTCTATCCCTTAAAGGCATATCGCCAGTATACTGGATCATGACAGAGACACTCTGATTTTGTTCTGTTTGTAGGAAAAATGAACTTTTATGAACAAGTTTTTGAACAATTAGGATTAACAACAGGAAGTCCTTTCATTTGCGACAATCATCGTGGTTGGTGCATTATTTTCTAATTTAAAAAAAAAATTTAGATGAGATACAATTTTACGTGAGTTTTCTATACTAAATGTTAAGGAAAGAGGTCCAGAACAGTTCATTCTGCTCTATCGTTGATGAAACTCTGCCAGATGGTGACATCAGTCTTGATGTTATGATTGATATCTAAGTGACAAATCTACTAGTGATAATTTAGTTTAGGATGTGAAAATTTCACAAAATTTTTCTAATTAGATCAATGTTTCGATCAGCAGTTTTTCCGATTTTTAGTTTTTGTGAAAATTTACATGCCATACAAAAATGATCATAATATACAAAGTATTTAAATTAGTTGTTTCAAATAAAGACTAGCTAATACATAATTGAACAGAGCAGGCATGTGAATTCTTTGAATTGGATACCAGTGTTGTTGAACAAGTAAAAAAAAATCTTAGTACAAATTTTTATGTCAATAATTTTCATTTGTGTCTAACATCCTTGAATGTTGTGTGATTTTAATCATATTTTTTGTTATACTGACATTTAAATAGTTAATATTTATTCTTCACTCATTTCTCTTTAATTTGATTTATTATATTTCCCAGTACAGCCAATCTTTTCTCTTCAGGAAGGTTTTAGCTTTGTCGTGTTGCAGCAAAACATTCCGTTCAAAATTATTGCTGTCAAAACCCCAGAAAAAATGTCCTGAAAGAGTTAAATTTTTTTTTTTAAACTGACAACTTATGTTCTTTACATATTCCTTGATACTTACATTTCTAACCATGACATTTGCAATAAACTTTAGATGTCTGTGCACAGCAGAGAAGTATTTAAATCCAGGTTTGTCCTGATTTTCTCTCAGTCTGGACATGAAGTTTGTCAAGGAGGTCGCAGCACCAAACTTAATGCTGTTTTCACCAACCTGAAAAAAAGGTCTTTTGATTAATGATGGGATCTACAATAACTGACAACTTACAGCTCATAAAAGTGCTAAAAGTGGCAAGAAACAGAAGCTGGAATCCAGTCACACTACTGGAAGGTGTTACACTACTTCAAAAGGTGGGTGTTAACAAATGTTTTAACATGAAGATCACATTTAAACATATCAAGCAATCACGTGCCATTTCCGCAGTAATGGTTGGTTGCAATGGATCCTCATTAAACCCTATCTCTCTAACCTTGGTTATACACTCTCCCAGGCTACTGTTAGTCCATCTCTTGATGTTGTCCTCTGACTTGTACCACTCTCTACTATTTGCTTTCTTGCTACTGACATTTCTCTCTAGTATGGTTATAGAAAGGTATCTGAGATAATTTATTAACAAATTTTCCAGTATAGAATATCCCTTTTCGAAACATAAGACGTGAAATGTTTACTCCTAATATGTGAACATTAAAAAATATCCAACATATATTTATCCCTAAATGACAAACAGTTTGTCTCATATCTAGTCAAAATACATTACAATGTGAGCACATCTTCACAGCTACAAACAGCTCACTAAAATCTTGCGCTAAATTGACAAGAGTCATATTCTCTTTAACAGGGCTTTATTGCTGACCTCTTGAATAGATAACTGGCACCGGTAAACCTCTTACATTCATAACTATTAAATAACACTCATATTTCTCCTCTTAAAATTAATAATATAAAATCTAGTTACAACAGCCTTAGAAAATACAATGGAATGGTTAGATGGCCTAAGATGGTGTATCAGAAACATTGATTTCAAAAAGTGTATAGTTCCATGCCTTCCTTGTAGCAGAAAATTAAAAAGCACAAAGATTCACTTTTTAAAATTATGATACAACAGTTGAATTTTTTTTTAAATAGTTGCATTTAGCAGCAATGAAATGAATAGCTGAAAACATTTGACAAGGTGGACCTTCTGAAGTCTATTTAAGAATGAATGCTATGGTAAACACAATGTGAGATGAAAAAACATGTGTACAGTTGCATGAATTTGGAATTTAACCCGGGCCTGGAAAACAAAGGATGCATCCAATGAAGAGTATGATATGTGTACCACAAATCTGCTACTGAAACATTAAGCATATACAGGTTAGGACATTTTATAATTCCCTTTCTTGTTAGTAGTTTTAGTAGGCTTAAGATATGTGCTACTTGAGGCGGAGCATCTACTGTAATGCCTGTTACCCTACAATGTCAATTCTTAAATGAGTAATAATTATTAAAACCTGTTCGGCATCACTTACCACAAATGAGTATATCTCTTTAACACCATGAAGGTCAATATACACATCAAATGGACCTTCATTCTTGAAGATACCTAGCAAAATTTCAAAAGAATAATTTGATCAAAGTTAACATGGTACTAGGATGCTTACCTTCTAAGCTATACCTCAGATAGATTAGTTGCGTATGCTTTGCAAGATGTTGCAGAACCAACCCCAGCAGCCCCTGGCTGTTGTGTGGTATCTCTAGGCAAATTTACATCTAGTAATTTGCCATTGCTTTCTGGATGGTCGGCTCCCTGATACCATTGATGAAACCAACGCAAGGCGCATGGCCTGCAGCTGGGATCTAACCCAGTACCCCGGCATTACAAAGTGTTCGCATCGACGTAGCCACAGAATACTCCAGATACATAGATTAAATAAAGCAAAACCTGATAACAGTTAACACTGTACCAAGTGCTTACTCCTCACGGCATGGGTGTAACCAGAGAGTTTGGCTGGCTCACTACACTCAGAGGAAAGGCAAGACGGACATATAACCAGATTGTGACCGGTACCATCAGTATTGGAACTCTGCGCTGGCTTCTGATGATGAGGATGGAGCACACATGGGAATGCCCAATGCCTTGTGATGCCATACCATATAAGGCAATCATCAGAAGAGAAGGATGAAGAGCATGAGGTAGACCGTGAACAATATGGAAAGTCACATAAGAGAAACTCTACAACAACACATTGAGTCTATATGCCAGGCAGCTAGAAAAACAAGACGCAGAAATGAATACTTCTTTTGACATACAAAGTGGTAAAAGAGGAAGTCAAGAACAAGAACAGGAAGACTGTTTAGTTGTGTTCTGTTTTCTTGTAAAAACTAATTCCGCTTTTTATTTTACTAATTGACTCATTGCTTGCAAAAGTATAACTGCTAATGAGGTGTTTCGAATGAATTCTTTAAAGTCAGAAGTTTATTGTAATTACTAACTAAACAATCATTGTCTAAACTTGTTTAGGCTGTTATCAACTTTCCTGTTATACAGTTTTGCTAACATCCAATGCATCATCATCATAATCATCATCATCAAGTTTCTTGCCAGCTAGTGCAGGCATTCATGCATCTCCACAGTCTTGGTCTTTGGTGTTCTAGATCAATTCCACTGACGATATTCCTCCATGCCACTGTCTTAAGCCATCCACCATCATTTCTCTTGGTCTGCATCTGCCTTTTCTACCAGTGATCTTTCCAGTCGTCTCACTATTTTCCAGTACTCCTTTTCTCATCATATGACCAAAGAACTTTGTTATGTTCTACTTTCATTAGCCATTTCCAGGCAATCACTGTTAGGTATTCTGGCAGTACAAGGTATTTGCAACATTCTTCTCCAGAATCACATCTCAGTTGCCTCCAAACTCTTTTTAATTTGTTGCATACACACCCAAAAAAGATTTTTCTTCATATTAAGTTGATGTTAAACTGAAAAGTCTGATCCTTCCTTCCCTACTACAAGTTCTACTCCACATGGTTCAGAATGAGCAGTATCGTACCTGATGCAGTGTTTCCAAAGATGAATCTGCTTTGCTTAGTCTTGTTGCTTGCCAGAATAGATCCCAAATCACTCAATGACTGGGGCCTTTATTAACAAAGAAAAAGAGCAATAATAATTTCACTTATCAATATATCAAGTATTGAAACTTTATTACTTCCTGACTGGTTTTTACCCCCAGGTTACTACCTGAAGGTCTGACCACACCTGTGGTGGCTGGATGGCAGTTAAAAAGGACACACCACAGAAAAATGATTCAACAACAAAAGAAGTTATAATTAGGACGGCTGTAATGGCTACACAAGGTGCCTGCTATCAATGGTGGGTAAGAGGAGGATGAAACTATTTTAAAAAACATCCAAAGTATATAAGTAGAAATGAACAGCAATAAAAACAAGCTGAGATTAAACCAATATTTCAAATTATACAGCAGGCACAAGTTGCATGCACAATGATAAAACTGTTTTCATCATCTTCTTCTTCTTCTATTTCTTCTTCTTCTTATTCTTCTGCATACACTGGCTGTGAAGTACAGCTGAAAGTGCTAGTTGTTTGTCCACATCTAGACTTTGGTCTAATCAGAATTTGAATTTTGCATGTGCATACATTAATGCACACTATAATTATCTAAGCAACTTTTTGTGTGTGAGTGTGTTTTTTAATTGATGGAAACTAAAAATAAGGCTGCATTCTATCATTCTATCTCCCTTGTTGTTCGGAGTAGCTATTGATTGGGTAATGAAAAAATGTTGCAAAGGAAATGCTGGCATTTATTGGGTAGAGAACAGACAACTGGAAGATGTGGATTTCTTTGATGATACTGTTTTCAATTAAGTAAAAATAACAAAGACATGCAAAGAAAAACAGAAGATTTGCCGCCTACAGCATCAAAAATAGGACTACAAATAAGTTATGAGAAAACAAATATATTAAAGATACTAACACATCATGTAGATGTCATGCTAGAGAATTAACCAATAAAAGTAACGAATAATTTCACTTAATCTGGTAACAATTTCGATTTTCAAGGAGATATAACAGTTTTTAACAACCTTAACAAAATACAGAGCTCCAAGTTTTACAGCTTTAAGACCGAACAACGAATCTTCATTTCGAATGTTATTTCATATCTAGTTCTGAATACTTCTAAAGATATGGAAAGAAAGTTAAATGCATTTGAGAACAAATGTCCAAGAAAAATCATGAACATAAAATAGGATGAATTTTTAAAAAGCGAGAAAATCATAGAAATGTCTGAACAAATACATGAATTGACAACAATAAGGTAAAGAAGGTGGAGATATATTGGGCACATTCCCAGATTTAAAGAGCACAGAATTACAAAACAAGTACTAACATAAGAAACAAATGTTACAAGAAAAAGATGATGTCCAAGGGAGAATTAGGAAAATGAAGAAGAGCTTTATTATGAGAAGCTAAAAATGATGGGCTGAACTCCACGTTAGAAAACAAGAGAGTTGCGTGAAGTAGAGCAGAGTGGAGGAATCAAATGCGAGCACTATGTGATGTCTAACGGCGCACAAAGGATGATGATGATTCATTATACAGATCTGGCTTATTTGTTTACAGACTGTTGGTTCCTTTCCTCCCAGGTAGATGCATTTCATGTTTGATGGAAGCATCCATCCTTTTTTTTAGTGGCCAGGGAAACTGTTTCTAGGATAACCATGGATAACGGTAGTTAGGTCTTGACCAGTTTCAGCCCTAGGCATAGTGCACCATAAAATCACATGTGGGAATACATCTTTGCATCCCAGATTGTTTCTAATGAGAAGGAAATGCTGATGAAGGCAAAGAAAAATTGATAATCTGTATGGCCTACCTGTACCATGCTGTTCCATTTATCTGAATGTTAAGACTGCGATTTCCTCCATTGGGGTGATCTTCTTTGCAAACTTCACCAGTTCTAGGACACAAATTCTTGCTCAAGTCCTGAAATTAACATATTTACTTTTACCTGCCTTGTTACTGGTGTAAGATAAGAAGCAAACAAAAGTAAAATCCTTTTCAACTGAATACAAACACTCATTTTCCATTTTAAAAATGGACGGGAGGTCAGATGGGTGGGGGAATACTTGCCATAGAGCATCTATTTTTAAAAAAAAAGTGCTGGTACTCATCACAAAGAACCCATTACAGCAGCACTGAAAACAACACTCCTAGAAGATCAAATGCTGGTACTGCATACCACCAGGAAAACAAAAAGCTATGCAAACACCACACTCAAATGTTTTCCCTGTAAAAAGAAAATTCACAGTGGGAGGTCAACAATCTTTGTGGGAGGCCAAGAACCAGTAAACCAGCCCACCAGGGTGACACAGGGTTCACTGGGAATACAACATCCAATACTCAAGTGACAAAGGACCAGAATAGAACGAAGCCAAAAATAAGCAAACTGCTGATACAAAGAAATCTGGCAATCTCTCTGGCAAACCTCTGCACCCCAAGGTAGAAAAAGACTAAGTTAATAAACAAAATTGGAGCTTCTGAAAATAATTGTCAAATAGGAATGTTTTGTGTTTACAGTTATGTGTAACATAATTATGAAAACTGTTTATATTCTTTAAGATCCTAGCATCAAAGAGAACTGGCTCATAAAAAGCATGTATGTTTTGGAAATTTTAACCCTACCAGACCGCTGGCCCAGTTTCCCAGAAATTTCATAACTGTTCTCCATACCGCTGGCCCTACTTTTCGGCTATTTGCATAGTGCATGAGAAAGATGCATCACTGACTAAAAATAACCAACCAATCGTCATCAGTCCACTTTGTTAGACATTGCAAATGGCTTCCCCGTGTGTGTAAATCAATTTTGTGTGTTTTAACGTGAAAAATTTAGGAAAATTCAGAATGAAGCGAGCGGGTGATGAACCAAGTTTTAGGCTTTTCACAGTCCAACAGGTGATCGATACTTTGGTTTATTCAGACTCTGTGATATATATATATATATATAAATATATATATTTATTATCTGTGATAATTTCATAAAGAATACGTTCTTGAAGTGACACTGTCAGTGAGAGCGCGAATGATGAGGAAAATCTTGAAAATTATCAATCTTGAAATAGATCGATAGTAGGAGGAGGGGGTGTGTCCATCAAACGGCAACATCTGGTGTTCACTTTGTGAAACAAATTGATCCTGATGAGTGAATTGGCACACAAAGGTGGAATATTGGCGCTAGATAAAAGGTAAGCCTATTTTGTACAATGTCTCTAAGTTTCATCATATTCTAGCCGCTCGTTTGCATGTAACTAATATTTTTGTATATCATGTTGGTTTTTTCACGGTAATGCAGCAATGGACAAGAAACAAAAAATGCTGTTCACAATTTTCCAGCATGTGATCCTGTCAGTGATAGATTATGGAATTGAAATGCTCACCATATCAAACAATCAGCTGATAAAACTCAAACGCATACAGAATGAAGCCATGCGGGTAATTCTGGGATGTACAAGAGATACCTCAGTAGTATGTATGTATGCGATATATGCTTGCACTGCCTACTAATGCAGATAGGCTCAAAGTTCTGCAGGCAAAGTCATATCTCAGAGTAGCTGTAGACAAGAAGCCCCTCCTGCATGAAGCCCTGGGTAGAGCTAAGGGTCACAGATTGAAAACAGGAAGGTCTTGGATAGTGCCAGCTGAAGACACAATTGGACATGTGTGCAGGCTTGATAAATTTGAGTGAGGAGAGGAGTGGGTCAAGGAGTCTAAACAAGCTTCAGGCTTGTGTAGGGTTCTAATCTCTTTAGGTCGTGAGTGCAGAGACTGCCCAGCTGGTGCTGCATAATCAGAAGTTCAACAAATGGTTCATGACAATTCCTGCCTAAGTGATGTAATTATCTATACAGATGGCACTGTGTTGAGGGGCAGACAGAGTGCAAGAGGGTTCAAAGCAAAAGCGAATGGATGTCGCTTAGTGCAGCAAAGCCTTGCATTTAATATTACAACGACTAGTTTGAGAATGTAGGCGGAGGCAGTCTCTGCTACCTTCTGGTGGCTTGAGAATCAGCTGTACAGGTTTAGAAGAGAATGGTAATGAGAGACACTGTTCCTAAAAGAAGAGGCAGAGTCGACCAGCGCAAAGGTGGACACTGATATTACAGACACCTCAGGCATGAAAATACATCAGACAGGAGAATTTGAAAGAGACTGAGTGGCTCTACAACTGGTTATGATGGAAGAGATGTTCTGCAAAAGAATTGCTACATCGGCGATATTCGACTGAAACCCACAGGCTGAATCTGACCCACAGAGGCCAGTGGCCTACGGATCCATGCCAGCTGTCTCACATGTGATCTTTTGACAGTGGGACTCTGGCCTCTGGCTCATAATGATCCCGCATTTTCAACATTTCAGACCCCGAGCTGAACAGCCTTGGGCTACATGCTGTCATTAAAAAGGACAACTCATGGCAGCTATAATCTACCACCAGCATCTGCTAGGAAGTTTGTGAGGGCTGAACTTCATAAACCCCTTTTCCTTTAATGATGGACATGCCTGATTCTGCAGTCATATTTCTGATAGTTTATAAAAAGAGCCTGCATGGTTTACATGGACTATAGGACCACATTTCTGTGCAAAACCAAATAACATCCTGCGTTTAACCCTACCACACCTGAGGCCCTGAACCTAACCATCCCCTATACCTGAGCTTCTCAGCATTAACACGAAAAAAACCAACATGATATACAAAAATATTAGCTACATGCAAACAAGTGGTTAGAATAAGATGAAACTAGGAGACATTGTAGAAAATAGGTTTACCTTTCATCTAGCGCCAATATTTCACCTTTGTGTGCCAATCCCCCCAGCAGGATCCACCTTATTTCACAAAGTGAGCACCAGATGTTGCTGTTTGAGGGACACGCCCTCTTCTCTTACTATTGCTCTAGTTTTAAATCTATAATTTTCAAGATTTTCCTCATCACTTAAGCTCTCACTGACTGTGTCACTTCAACTGGGAACGTATTCTTCATGAAAGTCTGACTCCTCAGAGTCTGAATCAACCAAGGTATCAATCACCTGTTCGACTGGGAAAAACCTAGACCTACTTCAATTTCCTGTCGAAGTGCTTAGTTCATCAGCCCCTCGTTTAATTGTGAATTATCAGAATTTCTTCACATTAAACTACACAAAGTAAATCTAAACACACGTGGGCAGTTATTCGCAATGACTAAACAAAAAGGTTTGATCACGATTGGTTGGTTATTTTTAGTTTGTGATGCGTTTTATCATGAGGTACACTAAGTACTGAAAATTAGGTACAGCGGTTTAGCAGGCAGAATAAGAAATTACCCGAAAAGCTGTACAGCCGTCTGGTAGAATTAATATATAAATAAGTTTAGTTACATAAAGATGCTATACAAAAAGGAGCTAATTATTGTTTTCAGTAATAGAAATATTAACAGAGAAACTCAACCTCAATGTCAATTGCTTTGGCTCCTGGGATGTTGGCATCTACTGCAAATGACTTCATGGCATCTAAGATGGATCTGTATCCTGTGCAACGACAGAGGTTTCCATCAAAGTTGTCCTCAACCTCTTGGGCTGTAATGTTGGGTTTCTGATGAAGCAGTCTGGAGGATAGAAAGGAGCAGTGTTAAATAGAACCTATGATGTGATTCAGCAAGAAGAAGCAGGACAGAGATCCCCATACTGTTTCTCATGACTATGCTCCTACAATGAAAGCTTACATGTGGCACACCAGTAACTTATATTCTTCTTTTTCAGCATTCCAAGCCCTTGAGGTTCACTGCTGCAGTTTTCATCTGCCTCCATTTATCTTCTCTTTCCAGATGGTGACACCAACTATTTGTAGGTCTGCCTAACTATTTTCTTTCCATTGTCTTCTTGGTCTGTCTCATGGTCTATGTCCAATCAGCTGCCTTGTGCGTAGTTTTTACCTTTCTGTCACCAAATATTCTCTCATTATGTCCAAGCCACTTCAGTCTATTAGCTCTCATGATGCTAGTGATTAGTGGTGATTTAAACATTATAAATTTTGTTGTGCTTCTCACTCTCCACTCCCTGCTGACTGCATCTTTGATGGGTCCACAAATTTTCACATTTTCACAATTTTCAAAAGTTGTTTTCTACAAATGTGTAGTAAGGCTTCATCTCTTTTAGTTGTGCTCCAAGTTTCAGAGCCAAATAAAACAGCTGGTCTTGTCAGCATTTTATATATTTGAGTCTATGACTTTAGCAGATGTTGAAGGGTAGTGTTTCTCAACATTTTTACAAATGAGCCTACCAAAACACAGGTACTTGTTTCATGGCTTATCTGACAGCTAACCAAGCACAGAATCAGAACCAAATGTAGACAGCAGTAATTTTATCAAATGCAATGTCACATTTTTACAACTCAGCTTGTGTGGCATCTGTTGCTGTTTACAGGCTAGAAAATGTATGTAGTTGACAGAGTTTCTGGGACTTGTACCTGTTTAATCTACAGACTGCAATCCTGGAAGAGAACACGGTCTACCCTATCCAGCTGCCTACGCTACACCCAGCCCACCATTGAAGAACACAGTTGTAGGGCACAGTATACTTTCTAGAATGTTTTCTACCAGATTGTGTTTCTTCTCTCAGCATGTTAGAGCAGCTGAAGTTTGCATCCCAGTATTTACATGGTTCCTTTCATTTCATTTTCATGTTATCAATTTGCATGTGGACGGAGTTATGATCCTTTCCCTGTCTTGTTATTACCATGTATTCTTTCCTATCTTAACTGTTAACTAGTCCCATTTCTTCCTTTAAGAGAATCAGTCTTTTTAACATCTCTTGATCATTTTCTCCAATGATATCAATTTCATCTGCATAACTAGCCTAAGTATACTTGTACTTTTTTCTACAGTACAATCTTCTTTCAGTGTCCTTAAAACTTTCTCCAGGACCAAGTTGAAAAGAAGTGGGACACAACATCACCACCCCAGATGTTATTGAAAAGGGACATAGTTTGGTCACGGTGATTAACTTCTTTAGTATTCCAAATTCTTTCAAAGCATTCAAAAAACTGTTTCTATGTATACTCAAATGTCTTTTGAAAGTAAAAAACATTATGTAAATTGCTTCTATATTCCTAGTGTTGCTCTGCTAGTTGCCATAAATGAATATTTGATCTATCAGAAACCCACCTGGTAATCACCCAATAAATCTTCAACAAATAGTTTTACTCTGCTTAGCAGAAATTCAAATAGTATTTTATAGTTTGTAGACAACAGTGATATTTCTCTATAATTTTCACATTTATACTTGTCTCCTTTCTTAAAAGTAATTAATAATGTCTCTTTTCACACATAGGGCAATTTCTCCAGACTTATTAATTCATATATCTTTTAATGCAAGACCAGCTTCTTTCTTATAAGTTCAGCAGCAATTTCCATCAGTGCCATTTGCCTTATTATTTATAAGCTATGTTATGACACAAAACTTTTTCAAAATCAGGCTATTTAATGTTTGGTTCACATATTAGTATCTCTTCCTGTGGATAAAGTATTTAGGGAGTTTCACAGTCTGATAATTCAGCAAAGCATTCCTTCTATCTGGTATATATTTCCTAATTATTATTTATCATGTTACGATTATGATCTTTAAAACCATTTGTGTTGTGCTGATGCCCTCATTTTACGGCCTTCATTTTTTTTTTATCTGGCCATGTATAACACATACTCCTCCATCAAGTAAACATCTTTGTTAGCATCAAACTTCTCATGTATAACATATTTCTCCATCAAGTCAACATCTTAGTTAGCATCCAACTTCTCATGTAAAACATATTTCTCTATCAAGTCAACATCTTAGTTAACATCCAACTTGTCATGTAAAACATATTTCTCCATCAAGTCAACATCTTAGTTGGCATCCATATTGTCATGTATAACATATTCCTCCATCAAGTCAATATCTTTGTTAGCATCCAACTTGTCATGTAAAACATATTTCTCTATCAAGTCAACATCTTAGTTGGCATCCATATTGTCATGTATAACATATTCCTCCATCAAGTCAATATCTTTGTTAGCATCCAACTTGTCATGAAAAACATATTTCTCCATCAAGTCAACATCTTAGTTAACATCCAACTTCTCATGTAAAACATATTTCTCCATCAAGTCAACATCTTAGTTGGCATCCATATTGTCATGTATAACATATTCCTCCATCAAGTCAATATCTTTGTTAGCATCCAACTTGTCATGTAAAACATATTTCTCCATCAAGTCAACATCTTAGTTGGCATCCAACTTCTCATGAAAAACATATTTCTCCATCAAGTCAACATCTTAGTTAACATCCAACTTCTCATGTAAAACATATTTCTCCATCAAGTCAACATCTTAGTTAGCATCCATATTGTCATGTATAACATATTCCTCCATCAAGTCAATATCTTTGTTAGCATCCAACTTGTCATGTAAAACATATTTCTCTATCAAGTCAACATCTTAGTTAGCATCCAACTTGTCATGTATAACATATTCCTCCATCAAGTCAACATCTTAGTTAGCATCCAACTTGTCATGTATAACATATTCCTCCATCAAGTCAACATCTTAGTTAGCATCCAACTTGTCATCTTTAACACATTCCACCAGGATGTCAATGTCTTAACATCCAACTTGTCATCTATAACACATTCCTCCAGGAAGGCAATGTATTAACATCCAACTTGTCATCTGTAACACATATTTCTCCATCAGATCAACATCTTAGTTAACATCCAACTTATCATGCATCACACATTTCTCCATCAAATCAACACCTTAATTAATGTGTGACTTGTAATGTATTATCTTTATTCTTTCAGGGAGGCAGAATCTTGGTTAATGTCCAGCAATTCACTATTAAACATAAAATCAAGAACAGTGATAACTTAATTGTAAAACTTTTCACACACCCCCCCCCCCCCCCCCCCCCCCCCCCCCCCCCAGGGAAAATAAGATGTCAAAAAGACCTCAGTCAACTCACACCAAATCATTCTTTCCTTTATTATCAAATACAGCTCACCCCATGTCCTCCCCCGTCTTTTTAGTCCACTCTCCAGCTCCCTTCTCCATATTATTTTTTTATGTGCTTCATTTCTATGCCCCTGTGGATTCCAGTGTAAAGATATTCTAGTTATAGTCTTCTCAGGTTTTCTCGTTGTGTGTGTCCTTTTCTTTATCTCTTGATTCATTTTAATTTGATTTGTTCTCTCCCAAAGCTCTATTAGTGACTCAATCATACCTTTAATTACCTCTGTTCTGCTCAGGTACCAGTTTGAATTTAATTATTACAGTAGACTCTGCTATATCTGGCCTAATGTGGTAGAAGGTTAGGCTGGATAACAAAATGGCCAAATATGCCCAAATTCTATAAATACTCAGTTTTGCCCCTACCCATACAATTAAAAACACCCTTTTTATACCAAAACCTATTCTTGTTAGGATTTTCTGACCTCTTAGTATGATCCAGTTCTTTATAAATGTTTCTTATGTATCATACTCTACATTTTGAACATTTATATGGAGAAATAGGTTCCCAAAAAAAAAATTTTGTTCACATTATAAGAAAAACTTTTTAATGTCTAACTTGACTGCAGGGAAAAGTAAAATCATGTACACCATACAGTAGAATGCACAGATTTTACATGAACAAAACATGAACCTGGCGAATACTGAATCTTTCTATCCATTGATCTAATCATCCATCACTGCCAGTAAATTCGTAATCTTCTCCAATTTATGGAGTAAACTGCCATGCAGTTTCATTCAATGTTGGCCCATTCACAGCCTGCTTTTTCCTCTTAAGTGTTTATGTTACAAAAATAAAGCTTCTTCAGCCTCTTCATTTTTACCTTTCATCATAATTTTCTTACTTTAATGCCACTCCCACTAGACTGGGCAGTCGAGGAATCCATGCTTTGAAGTCTCAATGTGTGTTATGTTCTCGTTCATGCATATTCCTTTGTCATTCACAGATCTCCCAGTGCTTTGAAAACTCCTCTTAATTTAAATTTTGAAACTCGTTTCATTTCTAGTCTGCCTTAGTTGCCATTCTCGTTGCCTAAATATGCCCTATGACATTACCATCTATCCATTTGTCTGAAGTTACTGATAATTGGTACATCTTCGTCTTTGTTTTCACCAGTTGTAAACTCTGGCAGAAAGTTCTGGTTGTTCATCCAATTCTGGACTTTGTCTTGTTCCAGAACGTGAGTTTTGTTTGCACATCTTTCTCAAACATGTGTCTTATTTGTTGTTGCTTCTTTGCCTCTCAGGCTGATGCACTCGGATTGAAGGAATCTTTCAAGTAGTCTACTCTTAAAAGATGCATGATAGGAAGGCAGTGAATCTGTTCTTTTCTCAGCAACCGGCCCCCCCCCCCCCTTTTTTTTTCCACAAAGAAGACATGGAACCCACCAGAGAAATCTATACTTCTGAATATATCCATATTTATATTACATGGGCAAGTAATGTTTCAACTAGCTTCAAAGAGATATGTTTGCTTTTCACCTTTTAAAGACACAGAGACAAAACAGAGTAGACATTTTCAAACTATCTGGCAGTGTTGAAATCAAAGTAATGACTCACCCATACATATTCATGACCATGCCTGGTGTGCAGTAACCGCACTGAGTGCCATTGAAGCTGGCAATTCTTTCCTGGATAGGATGGAACCCATTCTTTTGGTTGCCAATGCCTTCGATGGTGCTGATCTGCCAGCCATCCACAGCATACAAGGGAGTGATGCACTGTGTATTTACAAATAAAATATTAAACTCACACAATTCAAATAATTTTTAGTTGCAAACAAACACTAACAATTAACCTGCAGTAGCAACAAGCCTGCCTGCAGACCTAGAAGTCAAGGTTTCAAATCCACACTGAGGCGAAGTTTTTATTTAAAAGTGGTCTTGGCTTCTGGGTCAATCCAGACAAAAATGAGTATCAGGCAATGTCCTGGGAAGTAAAGGTAACCGGCATGATATTGACCACATCCTACTTCAAGTGCTGATTGATCTATAAAAATACAGGTCCAAGTCCATGTAAAAATAAAAAGTGTTAGTGTAAAAAATGCTTTTGAGAACAAGAGTACACTTCTTAGGTATGTGAGCTCATTGCTTGTAATGTAGACAGATAATCATTATGTGCCTTATCAATTAGCAAAAGCCGGTTATGGATTGCCATGATCACCAGACTGATGGCCTGTGCTCTTGTCCTGCTCATGCCAATTGTCCAAGCCATTCCAGGCAGGTATTTATGTCAAAATATCCCATAGCCAGCTGATGCTCTGAAAAGTTGTTTGATTCCAGCTACGTTTTGCTGATGCAAATTCCCCATTTCTTGACCGGAAGTCCAAAAGTTCAATCCCCCAGCTACTAAGCTAAGTGCTTGGTATGACACTATGAGCTGTTGATTTAATATGGAATGTTTTTCTGTTTTTCCCACATGTTGACTAGATCACACCTTTCATGAAGACTGTACATCTTATACTGCTAATTAATGTTTAAATTAAATGTAAACATTTGTGTGATATGGGCACTTTGTAACTTTTTCTGTAATGACAAGATGGTATAATATTAACCCCCTGTTTTCTAAAAATGCATTATTACTACTATTATCCTAGACCATCATTGCTGGTCCTATTTCTGCACAGGCAGTTATTATGTTAACCCCTATTGATCCACACATCAGTGAAGTGACAGTTTATTTGGACAGAAAGTGTTGCAAATGTATATAACAAAAGTAAGTAAAAACCTTATAGTGTTGGGTTTGATGTTTGGTATGTTCTTCGTCTGTCCTTTGTTCTCCCCCCTCCCCCACTCCTATGAAGTAAAGGCCCTCCACCACTCAGGTCAAGTTAGCTTCCTTCCCCGTGTGTTCTTTGTTTTGCTCAATTTCTCAACGTGTAAAAAGTAATATTATCTAGATGCTAATTCTTGAGATTTTCCGACGTTAAAAGGATGTAGCATCGATGATTTGCATTCATTAAAACTTTCTCTGCATGCATCATCATTCTTCTGGAGAAGAACCTTCCCCCATCGTGATTGACAGGGTTGCATGTTACTCTTTCAGACTTCTTCATTGTTGGTTGATTTTTGTGTTTTTTTTTATTTATTTTTATTTAGGGGTGACGTAGCCAACCCCAAGCCCAACCCCACTTATTTTCTACTCTTACAGACGTCTAGTAGGGGTCAGTGTTACTATACACTGCTTTCTGAAAGGATCCCAGTAACACACAAGCGATCTAATGCCTTAACGATTAGTCATTCTTCCACTTACTGACTGGACACTGTAGGTCTGTAGTGTGTCAGAATCTGGACGTGTGTGGCTTACAGTAACAGAACAGCATCCACATCCGGCCTCACGGCACATCACCTTCGTGCCCTTCAGTCCTGCAACTTCTCTCAGGTAGTCATTAAGTGAAGTCTTGGGAGAGAATTTCTGGGAAACTGAATAATATAATAATTTATTGTTGTTGAGTTGAGTCAAGAACAGACATCACAGCACTCAGGCCATTCCCATATGCACTCTACCCTTGCTTAAACTGTTATGTTTTTTGAAGCAGTGGTTTTAAACCTCTTTCATATTTTTATAGCCCTTAGTTTTTTGGTATCATAAACATTTTCTTATATCATTCAAATAGCATATAAAGAGGGCTTAATGCTTGACCTGAAGAAAATTATGACAACAATTGGGGAAGGGAGGGGAAGGCAGTCATATTTATTTCCATATTATTACAAAAACACAAACTGGAACATATTGGATGAACTGGAAAAATATATTGGAAGAATTATAGGGAAACAAGAACTGATCTATTGTGTTAGAGATTTCAAGATGTTTAGAAGCGTAATTATCTGGCTTCAACTGGGTAAAGATTCTACATGCAGCATTTAGGACAAGCCCATGTTAGCTCCATCTCCCTCCTCAAGAGCCAGTGAAAAGTTTCCATATTCTTCTTCTTCTTCACGTTTAGTGGCTGTAAACTCTGGCAGAAAGTTCAGAAAGTTCTAGTTGTTCATCCACCTCTGGACTTCAGACTTGCTCCAGAGCCTGAATGTAGCGTGTACATCTGTTTTAAAGATCTGACTTATTTGTATGCCTTGTTGGTTCCTTGCCTTTCAGGCAGATGCACTCCGACTTCGAAGGAAACCTTTAGTTAGTCTACTCTTACGCCATGCTTGATGGGGAGGCAGTGGGTATATTCTTGTTTTCCCCCACAATGGGTTCCCGGAACCCACAGAGGGAGAGTTTCCATACTGATGGCTCCCATTGTCATCTCGTTAACTAATAATCTTGACTTTTCCCCTGAGTCTCGAGTGGCATCCCCAGAGCCCACAGACACTCTATGTTGCTTCATTCAATCCAAATATGGGTTTTCAATATATTCTATATTACAGAAGCAAGATTAAAGGAAGGAAAAATGGAAGGTATAGTTCCTGAAAGAAGAGGCTCTGGGGAACAATCCTGGATTTTTTTAAAAGTCATAATTAAACCAGCATCATTGCACACAGTTATAAACCATAAATGCTCTGCCACCTGAGGATAGGCAGCATCAGAACCAAAGCATTTATCACAGCGAGAGGCCTTCTCCGCAATCACCATGTCTCGAAGAAACAAACCCAATGGAAAGAGCAACGGACAGAGGAAACAATCCACTGACCAATCCACCCGATCCAACTTGGCAGCTAGGAAGACGGAGACAGTTACTGCCGGATCAAAGGAAGACGCCCCGACTACTAGTGAGGCCCTGAGTGACGTTCCAGCGTCACCTGAACCAACATGGCCAACTCCAGAAACATCTCCAGATCGACGAAAGACAGGCAGCCATAAATTTCCTGCCACAATATTTCTCCGACAGACCAGCTTAGGCCGGACAGCAATCACTACACTTGCAAAAATAACATTGATCAATTTGCTGGAGATCATGTTAGGCAAGAGGGCGGTCGCAAAGATTAGAAGAACTCGAGAGGGAGTGATAGCTTCACTAAACAGAACCAACCACACCTCAGTCATGCTGGATGACATCCAACACAACGGCAAGAAAGAACTCCGACTGACTGGGGAGATAACTGTGACGGCTACAATCTTCCAGAATGTAAGACGCTTGGTGATCCGAAGAGTCAGCCTGCAATGGAGCAACGAAGAAATACTACAACAAATAAGGAAAGAAAACCCCAGTATCACAATCAACCAAGCAGAGAGACTGGGCTCAAAACGACATCCACTACCAGTAGCAGAGATAACATCAGAAGGAGAAGACATCCCGGATAAAGTCTACTTAAATCAAAGAATGCAAAGACCAGAGCAATACGTACCACAGGTGATCCAGTGCTCTCGTCAAAAAGCATGGCACTCCCGAGCCACTTGTGTGAGCGTCACAAGAAGTATGCCAATACTGTTCAGAACCACATGCCTTCAACAATTGCCCTCTGGCAAAGCTGGACACAGACTTTAGGTCTCCAAATCCGAGCAGAAAGTGTGCAAACTGCTACGGCCAGCACAGCGCCAGATACCTGGGGTGCCCCTATCTGCAACAGTGCCGAGACATAGCAACCACGGCCATAAAGAGAAAGATTCCATACCATGAGGCCCGCAGAAGACACGAAGCAACACAAGGCATAACGACAGCTATCACCACCAAACTGAGCAACGAGATGGCTCGACTCAAAAGTGACATCCAAGCTCTCAGAGATGAGAAAGAAGCATCCAAATCCCAACGAGATGAAGACAGAGATGAAATAACGAGCCTGAGAGCTATCATGCAGGTGACTCTTGACACCCAAAAACGGATGGAACAGAGATGACGAATTTCAAGGAGGACATCATGAATGCACTGGCTACTATACAGACACAGAAGGAACAGCCAACTAAAGCAAGGGAAGATGAGACAAGTATCACTGATCTGCGGGGAGACCCAACAGCTTCTAGCAAAAGAAGTCGCAATGATCAAGAAAGCACTTGCTGAAACAGAGGAAAAGTTATGTAGAGCATACAAAGAAAACAACAGACTTAACAAGGAACTACAAGCAACCAACAGAGTTATGGAGGAAAGAGAGAAAGCACGAAAAGAAGCAGCAAGAAGGCAGCTAATACAGTCACCCAAACCTCAGGGAGCCGAGACCCAGAAAAAGCCATATCAAATACCAGACAAGAAAATACCAATGCCGCTGATGCGGCAGTTTCTGGACGAAACCACCATACAAATAAACCAACGCATTAGGGAGCTGGAGGATCTGAACTACTTTAACACAGAATTGCAAGAGAATGATGTACCATGGTCATCACCAGAAGAACCATTCCGACAGCCAAAACCTGAAGTCAAGCGAGGTCGATACCGTTACCACAAACATTATTGCCAGAGACTACACCACCAACGCCAAAACTACCCAAAACATTAGTAGGAGAAGCACTTTACAACAAGGATACGAGAAGACCACCAAATAACACCAGACCCCACCATTATTTCCTTTAGTACCTGCCCAAAGCAAGCAACCGCCGGTCCTTCTTAGGATAGACAATCCCCTCTCCTCGGAAACAGCAAACCGCCAATGAATTCCACACAAAATCGACTCAACATCCAATGATCTGGAGAGCAGCACAGGGCCAGCCAAATTACGAAAGCAGACGATCCAGCGGAAACCACAACAAATAAAATGCGACAAATACTGAAAACACAATCCAAAACCAAATGAGATCGAGACCAGAAAAGTCACCACAAATTTAGCAGACAGGAAATAGAGCAGAAATGTGATCTGACCTAGCTGACAGTGGTCAACGTAAGAGAATTAGAAATTATAATGCCACCAGTAGGGACAGCTGATAAGAAACTGTCCGCCTTTGTCGCAGTCCGCACACAACTCTGTAGCTACAGCTACATTCCTCCATTTACCCCAGAGTGTTAACTCTAGTACCCATTTCCTAGAGGCTGGCTGAATTTCAGGAACCGCCCGGTTTTGAACACCGGCTGCAGGGAGTCGCAGCTGGATTTTAAAGAGAGTCTCCTATCGACTGCACTAATGCGGCCCCTAATCCTCCTGGATGTGGACACAGAATGCTGCAGACACCTTAAGTATAAAAATATGCAGGGCAGAAGAACTGGCAAGTGACCTAGTTGGTTTTTCAGCAAAAAATCTGCTTAATTATGTTGATATAGATAATTATGTGCATGAACATCACATTACATTAATTTTTCTATAACCGTACAACAATCTTAAACACTGCAAACTAGATCAGACAGTTTAACTGTCAGTTATTAATTACTACAACAGGACATGCCACAGCATGCACAAACTAAAACAAAAAGCAATTAGCAGTCAAAAACAAAAACTTATTTTCCCTGCGGGCATGACACTCATGGGTAGGAAATAAGGTCACAGCCATTCATTATCTTCATCACATGCCCTGCCAACTGGATAGGCTTTCATGCATCTCCACAGATCTTGGTCCCTTGTCCTCTGGTTCAGTTCCACTGAAGATATCCCTCCATGCCACTGTCGCAGTGCATCCATCATCATCTCTCTCGGTCTGCCTCTCCTTCTTCTACAACTGAATTTTCCAGTCATCACAATATTCTTCAAAGCCTATCCTTCCACTCTATCACATGACCAAAGAACAGAGCTTGTCTTTTCCCTATAGCTTCATATGTTGATCTTTTCTTCATTAGCAATCCTCAGAGCAATTCATGTTTACTAAATAGGTACCTGGCTTTGCTGTTTAGGACCATGATGCAGCATATAAGTCCCTATCATAGTAGAACATGCTACCAGGTTGTGTTGTCTTTATTTCATCATCATCATTTATTAGTCTGTGGGTGCTGCCTAATGAACATAGGGCTACAACACTAGATTTTCCACATTAATATATATTTACAAAATAACTGTCTTTTCTCATTAGAAAACATGTTAAAAATCTACCTTTTTCATTATAAATTTAGTTGTGTATCCTTTACAGGATGTTGCAGAACCAACCCCAACAGCCTCTGGCTGTTGTGTGGTTTTTCTAGGCAAACTTACGTCCAGTAGTTTGCTATTGCTTTCTGGACAGTCAGCTTTCTTGATACCACTGTCGAAACCAACGCAGGGTGCATGGCCCGCAGCTGGGATCGAACCCGGCATCCCGGCATTACGAAGTGTTCGCATCGACTTAGCCACAGAGCCAAAAATCTTTTTCATTATCACCATATTTATTTGTCTGCACCACACTGAATGAAAATGAGGCTACAGAAGAGCTTTTCAGATAATTTCTCTGGTTACACAACATACTACAGTACTTCTATCGTTTATCATTATTATCATTTAGTTTGCGTGTATTCCTTATAAAACAGTGCAGCTCATTGATTTAGAGGTTCCTGAAATAATCATTTCACAATGTAATCCTCAACGTTTATTAGCGTTTGATTCTGACAAGGGTTGGTTTAGGAAAAGGCCATACTCAGACAGTGGTACGAGAG